ATCTGCAGCTGCAGCGCATTCATGATGATATAAAAAGCATGGCCCACAAGCAAACATATCAAAATAACTGCTGTATGAACCCACAATAAGATAATTTAGCATTCATACAGATAAAGCTGCAGTTTTATCTCTCTCTGCAGACTTCTGACACCAAAGGTAAAAATTTAATGACAGCTTGTGTGCTTGTTTCCTAATTCATATATGTCTATATCTACATAACAGTAACTATTTAGTATCTATGTGTCAGTTTTGAGGTTGTTGTGTCTGTTGTTAATACAGTGAAATAACTTCCTGGGTTGCATTAGATCATTTCTGGTGATTATCAATTAGTTCTGAGAAATAACATTGTTAAGTGCATGTATTAGAAGCATGTAATTCAGTGTAAAATAACTATTGCAAAGCTTAGTTTCAGAATAATGCTTGTGAACTGATCATTTTCTTCCTTGAATGCATGAAAAAAAGCATCATTTAATCTGGCTGCAGAGGACAGTCAATAGAAAGTATTGAAGTTGTAAACTAACATTAGAAAAATGGACACAGTTCACATCTCAGAGCTAAAAGAGACATTGAGAACTCACCAAGGACAGTGCAGAGTGCCGTTATGTCCATGCTGCTCGGCCGCTGACAGAGACACTGACTTCGGAGGGCTGTGTCACAGCTACTGTAAGGTTGGATGTTTGTGAGAGAGGCCACCGCTTCCTGCTTGAATCGCTTCTTTTTCACACCTCAAATGTCACAACTTTGTGAACCTGGCCTCCTTTTACTTTCATGACCTGAATTTTGTTGGTTCCTCATACTTAAAAAGCAGAAATGGTTCATTGCCGCTGACTCCCAGAAACAACATGTATGATGTTTGGTTTCCCAACAGGCCTGTTACTGGACCTTTGTCTTCATGGTAACGATAATGAGGGTTAACACTGTCGCAGTTTGGATGGTTTAGGAAAAGATAATAGTTGGGTTAAAATAAGTATGTTACATATGTGCCGTAATTTAAAGGTCCAGTGTGTAGGGTAAACACACTGGCTCTGTTCCATTTAGTGTGGCAGGGTGCTGCACTGGAAAGGCTCTGCTACACTGTGTATTACTACGGACACTAGAGGTAAACAATAAAGCGCTGCCAAAAACAACCTATTTGCGTGCATTTAAATCTGACTCAACATAACCGTGAAAGCCACAACTCTTAAATATGGCTTTCCACAACACAAAACAACTCATGGTGGTCATTTGCATCAGTTGCTGTTGTGCCACCAGTCATGGAAACACAAGTCACGTTGTGTAGACGTTGTGTGTCATATGTGCGGTTGACTTTACTTCACATATAGGTCACAGATACACAACTGAATAGTAATTTATTGATTAAAGCAAAAAACATTCCCTGTTCCCAGATTCTAAAAATAAATCCATAAATGTATGGAGAGAATTCTGTTCCTTTATTATTCAATCAAATAGAATAGATTTGAAACCAAAAAAGAGATTTGAGAGCAAAAAAGAGTAAGTGGCAATCAAAAAATTTTTTTGAGATCGAAACAGAACAGGTTGCAATTGAAAAAAAAATATGAGAGAATATATTTCTTCAACTTCAATCAAAACTAATGTTTGTAAGTAAAAACATACGACCATTTTGCGTCCTCTTTGCTTGAGAGTTATAAAGTTTTGTTTGCAAATCAGTCCTCTTTGCTTGCAAATTCAAAAGTTTTGCTTGCAAATTCAACTGCACTTGAGGGCGGGGCCTACACTGGTGGACGAGAGAAGAGTTTCTATTGGTTGGTTTGACTGGCTACGTCTTCTGCATTACACCCACTTCTCCCTGTGCTGTGCTGCTTGGAGAAGCCTGTTGCTCTTGAAACGTTTCCCATAAGTAATGAATTGCGCTATATATCGTTGGCTACAGCCTGCCTTACATTCACAACAACAACAACAACAACACAAGTAATGAATTATAATGCCCTGCTGCTGCAAGCACACTGATCAGCAGCAACATGGTTGTCTCTGCTAGTCACGGCCTGAGCAGAGTAGCCTAATGAGTGAGTGAATTACAGGGAGGCGTATTCAACATAGGGCTGTGATTTAAACATTTAGTGTTGCATGGTACTCACGGTGCCAAAACGTCAGGGTTCCTACACAACAGTACTACCGTGGATTACTAATCTACCGCTGAACACGGGGCCAGTTTCCACTGTGTAGCGGGCTGCCGCTACTCCTCCCGGCTCCCGTTCGCTACAGCTGTTCCAATGTCAACAAACACACGTGGCGAATAATTTAACAAATTCACGCACATATTTCTAACCAGCCAGCATTACTAGTCTATACAGGAGCAGCTGAATGATGCTTTTGACCTCAGAGATGTACAATGTGTAGGCTATAGAAGAGAAACGCAAATTTCAGCACCACTGATCTGTATAATCAGACTAAAAGACATGTCCTGTGATTTTAATTATTCGCCACGTGTGTTTGTTGACATTGGAACAGCTGTAGCGAGAAAGGGAGCCGGGAGGAGTAGCAGCAGCCCGCTACACAGTGGAAACTGGCCCCGCGTTCAGCGGTAGATTAGTAATCCACGGTAGTACTGTTGTGTAGGAACCCTGACGTTTTGGCACCGTGAGTACCATGCAACACTAAATGTTTCAATCACAGCCCTACGTTGTATACGCCTCCCTGTAATTCACTCACTCATTAGGCTACTCTGCTCAGGCCGTGACTAGCAGAGACAACCATGTTGCTGCTAATCAGTGTGCTTGCAGCAGCAGGGCATTATAATTCATTACTTGTGTTGTTGTTGTTGTTGTTGTGAATGTAAGGCAGGCTGTAGCCAACGATACATAGTGCAATTCATTACTTATGGGAAACGTTTCAAGAGCAATAGGCTACCTCCAAGCAGCACAGCACAGGGAGAAGTGGGTGTAATGCAGAAGACGTAGCCAGTCAAACCAACCAATAGAAACTCTTCTCTCGTCCACCAGCGTAGGCCCCGCCCTCAAGTGCAGTTGAATTTGCAAGCAAAACTTTTGAATTTGCAAGCAAAGAGGACTGATTTGCAAACAAAACTTTATAACTCTCAAGCAAAGAGGACGCAAAATGGTCGCATGTTTTTACTTACAAACATTAGTTTTGATTGAAGTTGAAGAAATGTGTTCGCTCATATTTTTTTTTCAATTGCAACCTGTTCTGTTTCGATCTCAAAAAAATGTTTTTGATTGCCACTTACTCTTTTTTGCTCTCAAATCTCTTTTTTGGTTTCAAATCTATTCTATTTGATTGAAAATTAAAGGAACAGAATTCTCTCCATATAAATGAGGAGAAAGCAGCAAGTTCTGTTTAACAGGTCAAAGAGGTGGAGCTGAGGTGGGCACGTACCTGTCACTCAACGTGGCCACACCCTTAACTATGCATAACTTTAAGCCATAATATAATTTAAACGGGTGAGTTATATAAAACTTCACCCCCCATACAGTACAGACTTTTACAAAGGGCCTTGAATGTGCTTCTAGTGACTTTAAAAGCTCCAGAGGACTCTCTGTGTTTCCTGCCATCTCTCTAGGAGGCGGTAAGATTGTGGCTGACCCCTCCCACCCCGGACACAGACTCTTGGAAACACTTCCCTCTGGCAGGATCATGACCAAAACCTCACAGCAGAAGAACAGTTCCTTCCGTCTGCGGCTGGTCTCATTAACAAGACCCGGGACCCCCCACTGACACTGGTTCTTAAACCCATCCTGTATATATGCATTACATTAATGTTTTATCTTGCACATTCAGTCCATTGTTATTCTCATTTCTGTACAGCTATTTACTCGTTTATTTAAGTATCTGGCCATTTTGTATCTTTTTATCTTTATTTATATTTTCTAGCTTGGTTGTGATTCCTATGCACCAGTGTACAAAAGGCAAATTCCTTGTATGTGAAAACCTACTTGGCAATAAATCTGATTCTGAATTTCACCAGACTCCATTAAAAAATCTTACAATTTTGGGAGTTACTGAGCGAGGAGACACTTTATAAGCTTTGTGAAACGTTATCTACAACAGATTGTTAATTATTTGGACCTTCTTGTAAACTCAGGAAATGTTACACATTTAGTTATTTCCTATTTCCCAGTGTGTTGGCCAGACGGGTCCAACCTCCTCTACTGTCATCCACTGACAACGTGGAGTAGGTACAGCCCTCTAGGTCAGAGGTCACTGGTGACACATTTTAAAGGTGTAAACAGAACATTACATGCATGACCAGTATGGTTGCATCAGTAATGAAACAGCAGATTTTTCTGTGTGCATTTACATTCAGTGTTATGTGATAAATGTGTAATATAAGGTCTTGATTTTATTTCCCCCACAGCTTATTTTGAGTCGACCAGGAGTCCCCACAGGATCCTGGGGAATATTTTTCTTTCAGTTTGGAAAATGAAAAGAAAAAGTGAGAGTAAAGTTACATCACTACAGTTTGTAGATACATAAGAGATTAGAGTTCACCAGGATTTTACTCATGATGATTATTTTATTCAAAAGATGTTTTACTGAACTTGCTGAGTCACAATAATAATAATAGTAATAATAATAATAATAGTATGATAATAACAAAGTACCTCCTTCATGGAGCTGACTCTGACTGAATACATATTTTTTAGAGTTTTGGAAAAATAATAAATCTTTAGGTTACTTTAGGTGATCAGTTACAAAATAAAGCTTAGTAACAGTCACATGATGATTAGTCATCATGACTCATATATTTTACTTTATTTCACTCTCATTACATATGTTACATTATGTAACATTACATTACATTACATACAAGCTGTAGTGCTTAATTCTGATTTATTCTGATCTTGTTGTTGTTGTTGTTGTCGTCGTCGTCGTCGTTGTTGTTGTTGTTGTTGTTGTTTGGTTGTTTGTTCAGATTCATTTATAAATGTGGCCCATATCAGATTCCAGTGTGAACAAGTCTGGACGAATATAGAGTGATGTAAAAGTCACGTGAGACCTGACTCAACTGATTCACACATTGTAAAATAATAAAATAAAATTCACATATTAGTTTAAAATAAAAAGACCCAGAACGTTCTGGTTCGTTCAAGAATGTTGGTTCTGTTTGTTGTTCTGTAGAGAACACTGTCACCTTAACAACCTGGAAAATCAGGTCACATGTCTTCGACGTCAGCAGACGTACGTACGTTACGTAAGGGGGCGTGGTCTTTTCACTACTGGAAGTGGTTGTTGGTTGGTGTGAGACAGAGTAGGGTGGGTCTTATATTAACAGACATGTCTCCTCCTGTCTCACTTCGTGGTGTCCACAGAACAGAACCCGGTCCAGAACTGTACGGTCGCTCTCTAACTTTCAGTCTGTCGGCTTCCTCACTTTATTTTTATGAGTCACTTCAGAAACTTCGTGTTTAGCTTCTGGTTTCTCTTCTGGACTTGGACTGTGTGTTTGACTGAGGGAGTGTGGACGTCCGATGGAGGTAAGAACATTCATTCATTCATTCATTCATTCATTCATTCAGCTCAGAGTTGTCCGGAGCTTTATACTACAGTAGCGTCTGTGTCCATGAACTGTAATGTGAATTATATTTTACTAAAGAAGAAAACAAAGAGTTCCACTAACTTCTATATATATAGTGTATGTATACTGAGATAGAGAGATACTTTCTTTATCCCGAGGGAAATTCAAGTATCCAGTAGCATACAAAATACAAAACATCTGAGATGTTATATATTGTTTTTTACAAACTCTGTAACACATCCTGTCTTTATCAGATTATTCTCAGACTTATTTCTCTTTAATTCCTCAGAATAGATATAATCTGATGATTCATACAGTAAACAATGTTGGCTGACTCACATCCTCATCCTGAGTCCATTAAACAGCCTGTTGTCTGAACATTACCGTGTTTGTAGAGTAAGGGTGACGGCCTTTATCAGACTTTTGAAATAAATGTCTCTGCCCTTCAGTTTAACCTATCAGAGAGCTACATGTGTTTCATTCCAATCTTTTGGATAGGAACCAGTAACCGCCCCAACCAGTTCCTGCCCTGATAGAGATAATGGTTCCACTGTGTCCTCTACTAAAGCCTTTGTCTGCCTGATGCCAGACTTCAGCTTTAATTCCAGTGTGATATTTGAATCATTAAGGTGTCAAATTGTTGATAATTATTAGGGGTGTAAGAATAATATTGAGATATGTCATTGTTTGGTGTCATATTGTGTCAATTCTCAAAAACTCTGTATCGATTATTGTGTTTAAACCCCCAACACTTGGATGGCAGTGCTGTAAACTGAGGGGGGGCTATGATGTTGGATTAATGATTTAAAAAAGCATACAGTATCACAATATACCGCAGTGTATTTTATTGTGATTCTTCTATTATTTATTGATTTTCAGGAGCTATAGATTCAGAATATAGTCCAGTACTCTGAGTCTTCCACTAGGGGTCGCCTAAGCTTCACAGGTGGTTGTGAGAACTTCTTGATTTTAAGGGGTGTAAGAAAACTTAATATACGTCGGCCTGTAGCGTTTAGTTAATTTCTGTAAAGAAAAGTAAATGATGAGAAATGTTCTCTGTTGTCCAGGTCAGCCTCGTGTGGTCGGGTCTCTTCAGCCAATCGTCGCCGTTCTGGGCGATGACGTCATCTTGCCGTGCTGCCTGCAGCCTTCGTTAAACGTGGAGCGGCTGACGGTGGAGTGGTCGAAGCCCGACCTGAAGCCCGACCCCTCAGATCGGCTCAGTCGGGTCGACTATGTGCACCTTTACAGGGACCGTCGGGAAGACATGGACATGAAGCTCCAGTCGTACGTCGGGAGGACGGAGCTCTCCAAGGACGGCCTGAAGAGCGGAGACATCTCGCTCAAGATCCTGAACGTGACGCTGGAGGACGGAGGGAGATACAGATGTTTCATCCCGAAGTTAAAGGGCTCAGTGAAGGAATCAGTTGTTACACTTGTTGTAGGTGAGTGCAGTTGTTTACATCAGGGGCCAAACTTTGGGTCTCGGAGGGCCGAGACTCAGTCTGAATATTCAAAGACGAGAACTTTGGATTTTCTGTCCAAAGGTCAAAACTAAACTAGGATTTTGTGAACAACTTATGTGACCGTCGTCCTATAATTGTTTTTTTCTCTTTAATATTGTGTTTTAAATCATTATCAATCTGTTTTTTTCAGAACCAAACTCTGTTCAAACGACGACAGAGACGCCGCTGGATGACAGAGATCTCCAACTTGCAGATCCAAACGATGAGACGAACGTTAGAGGTGAAGAATCTTCTGTGTTGTCAGAAACTGAATCACACTTTGTGTTTATTTCAGTCACTGTAACTTTTCTCTCTGTTTGCTTTCTTCACATCAGCTGGTCGTTCCCATCCTGGCACTCTGATCGTTGTGGTTGTCTGCGTCTTACTGGTCCTGGGTGGTGGAGTCGGTGGATATTTACTTAAACACAAGAAACAACAGGAAGTGAGTGTAAATCCTTGTTGTGTAAATCATACCAGACTTTTTAAGGAGACAGCTGACTAATTGTTAAACTTCTGTTCATTGTCTTCCAGGTTCTGGAGTATGACGTAGCCTGAAACAAACCATCTCCAGTCTAGGTGCCTTGCTCAAGGGCAGGTTGGTAGTTGATGTTAATTGAAGTGAGAGTGTTTCCCTCTCTTGGATCTGTCTCATCAGTTCAGGGATTCAAACCAGCAGCAGGTCCAGCTGCAAGTGAACCAGCTGGTTCAGCAGCAGTGAGACCTTCAGATCTTGGATCCTGGAGGAAGTTGGCCCTGTTGGAGAAAAGTCGACTTTACTGACTGATGGAGTATCTTCTGGTAACCTTTGGTTTGGACTTTAGAAAGAACAGCCTGCAGAAGAACTGTGACAGAACTGTAAATCATCTTGTGGGCTCCTGTCCAATGACATGGTAGCTACAAGTTATAGTTTTTTGTAATTTTTGCACCTCGTCACTCATTTTCAGCTCTTTGAGTGAGCAACCAGAGACAGTACTTCACCTTGGACCTCAAAGCGACTGAAAAGCTCGTCCTGTCCCGATCACACGGAATTGAAGTTTAATTCTGGTATTCTGTATCCGGCAGAACTTGTTTAACAGTTTAACCGTCCTCTTCCTGCTAATCAGGAAGATTATTTGTGTCCAAAGGATTTGAATGACAGCAACACCACATGTTGCCCTCTGATAGGTCAAAGCAGGAACCGGATGCAGCTGCTGTTTTACACATGACTACATTCAAACGGGTTGCACCTCACAAAGTAGTTCCTCCACAGAGAGTGTTGAGAGTTTACATCCACTAAATTCCAGGTGGAACTGCTGCAACGTACCTCCAGTTATGAGACGTTGTGCCAATAACATTTGTTTAAACAGGTAAATAACGTCAGTTAGCTTAGCATAATCAGAGTGACTAATGACTGTGAGACACATACTGTATTTCTGCTTGTATGCTATAAGTTTTAATGGTGCAACCTGATTTAGTGAATAATCAGTCTGAAACAAATTAGTAGTTAGTAAAAACTTAATTTATTTGTACAACTCAGTCTTACCTCTAACTGAATGAGAAGAATATATATGGGTTTTTTTTGTATTTTAAGGACGAAAGTTACAAGACGTAAAGGGGAAATGTGACTTACAGTTGATTCCCCACCTGTTTAGACTGATCTGAATCAGTTAATGGTGTTAAAACTGTGTGATTCAGCAGACAGCAGTGTCTGTGTTTTTTGATGACATTTAACTGATTTGTGGTCACCTTTATTCACTATGACTGTGAGAAACATTCAGAATACAAGCTGAGGTTGTCTGGCACATTCAGAGCTGAATTTTCTCTTTTTATAAAAACTAAATTTAACTTTAAGAGCTCTACACTCCCTGAACATCAGCTGTGAAAGTGCCTTTGAGCAGGGCACCTAGCCCACACTGAATCTATATACTATATATATATATTTGTATATTGTCATTGTTGACATTGTTCTGTTTGTTAGAAATTAAATTAAAAGTGCTGTGATCTTGAATGTTAAAACCTCTTGAACCTCTTGAATTTAAGTTATTTAACTAATTTGTGTTATGCTGTTTAGGCTCTGAATAAAAATCTCCACAGTGGGATTAAATGTTAGTATTTTAGTGTTCTTTATACGTCTTTTACATTCTGGATGTTATGAGGTAGTACAGTACATTCAAGGTGTTTAAAATAAGAGTTTGCACTATTATTATTCTCAAATATTTCTGCTTTGTTGTTGAATATTAATTGTTAACACAGCGGATAAAAGTCAAATAAATCCCATTTTCAAACAACCACAGTGTGTCGTGTTCATTGTGTCTGTGGACAGCTCCTCTCTGTTACACTCATTGTGTCTGTTTGCATTTATCTCTGTCAGTTATGAGAGATCATAATCTGGTATGTATATGTACGGGGAAAGATCGCCCTGATTGACCGGGTCTGTGGATAGTTCTTTAAGATACACCAGCTTGCCCGGTCACGCCCTACGGTTTACCTATAAAGCACCTGTGCTGGCGTGTAATCAGTGATAGTTTGATCGAAACGTGTCTCTGAGCGGCCTAGAAGCTGGACAGATAGTCTGTTCACTCAGACAGTCTCTATCGTCTCAAGACTCTCCATCCGTTTCATATTTAATATGTACGGGGAGATGGCACAGCCCACAAGCCCAATACACAAACGTGAAACAAACAAACAATTTACAAATGTACACTATTTACATACTTCATACTACATACATCAGATCAAGGCCCCGCATAACGCAAAGGCCAAGCCTGAGAGGCAGAAGGTCTTCTCAGGTCAGTCCGCAAGCCACAAGACTGATCAGGGAGACGACAGCTGGTGGAAAAGTAGACATCGCCCATAGTCGTATTACAAATGAGTCACATTTCAAATCACGAGTCACACCCAACCCACAACAGCTGACTGCAGCATTCAGCATCTTTTTGGTATGGTAGCCTTACCACATACATCTGCTGAAATATCTCCATGATCCAGTGGGACAGCCTAGGCTTTGATATGGGCCTGTCTGTATGACTGACAAAGCAGATGAAGAGCTGATCAGTCTACCAACTGAGATAGGTGGACCTCAGACAGAACCTTAGGCAGGAAAGCTGGGTTGCACGATGCTCCACCCATCTGGCGACAACCTACAGCAGTCACTGTGAGCTGACGGGGCTTGGAGTTCACTTATCCTCCCTGGTGGAAGTTATGGCTACCAGGAATGCATTTTAAGGGAAAGCCACTTCAAATCAGCACCCCCAAAGCTCAAGGGCGGGTTGCTGAAGTGCACTTAGGACTTTATCCAAGTCCCTGATGCTGATGTCCTGAGACACAGCATACATCTGTCATGACCACATGGCACAGAAATACCACACCCCCCACAAGAATGTCCCTGTTGGCTCTCCATACTAGATAAACTACAACTGTCAGGGGGGACAGAAACTGGGGACCGGCAGCAATCTGGAAACTCACTTCCTGGTTTATGGCCAGCTATAGGAAAAAATACTAGCCTTGCGAATACACACAAAGTTTGTGGCTTTAGTTTATTGGCCTCATTTCCCGTACATATGGAATATGTAAGGGAGTGGAGAGATGATAGAGAACTCATCTTGATCAAATCAGCTTACAAATATTTTCTCTTTCAGTCATAAATGATAAGATCAAGTTCAAGCTGCCATGTTGAGCAACAGACATCCGGTCTGTCTGTCTCTCAGCCAACCTCTGTCTGATGTTGAGCTAAAGTCTCTTCTAATATAGTCTCACTGAAGCATTATCTATCAGTTTACACACTTCCCTCTGTTCTCAGTTGATATTACAGTAGATAGAAACCTTATATTGTCTGCCAGTAGAGTTTAGAATACAACAGTTGACTTATTACCATTATTATATATCAAGCTCTACATGGTGGAGTCCCTGAGCACATTTCTGAATGACTGCGTCCATATTGGATCTTAAAGTCTCTCAGGTCAGCTGACCAGGGTCACTGCAAGTTCCCTGAGCTCCACTTCATAATGAAGACTGACCTTAAACTCTCTAACAGTTTACCTCTTACTGTCAGATAATCAAACTCACCTGATATATCTGAAAAACGTCTAAACACTCACTTATAAAAAGAGAGAAATTATAAATTTTCCTTTTACTTGTACAGAATATAGTCTGTGTTCTGTGTATCTGCTGGTTGTCCAGTTGTGTGGCTCCCTCTACTGTTAAAACAGTGACACAACAGTCTAAAGTAATTGTACAGGGAGTCTGTGGAGGCTGTGAGGATGAATGAGGAGTACTCTATGGAAGCCGCTTTCTACCAATGTAAGGGGAAAAGAATATTCTGTAAGTCATTATAATGAGTTCTCAAAACAATGACTTAGTATCACAAAGTACTTTGTTAAAAGCTGGTAGAATTAGTTTTTAAGGGAAGCATAATTCAAGGTGTTAAGAGCCCCACATAGTGGAAGGATTACAGTGATAGAAGGCATTTCTGGTGGCGTAAAATATTCATTTATCTATACTGATGGTAGACTGGTAACAAGGTGTGTGCTATATCACCTTGCTTGACTATCTTCTAATTCCACTAAGGTTTTATTTCACCAGAGTGGAGAGTTGTACCTGCAGCTTCTTTGTTAAAAGCTGGTAGAATGAGTTGTTTCCCCAGAAAGTTACCCGAATGTTACATGTTTTTCTTGTTGTAAAGTGAATTACACAGTGACCCAGATGCAGCCACATGTTTATCACACATCCTAAAGGTGGGCTGGTTTCACGTCTACATCTTATACATGCTGTTACTGGTCTGCGCAGAGGAAGTGGTCGGCACACTTTGTATAAGTCAGTCATTTTCCATTCAGCAGTGAGACAGGATGAAGATCGATGTGTTATTTCTCAGTCTTTGTAAGTAACAATGTCCTTTTTTTTAACCATATTCCTCACAGGATATCTTATCGGCTCAAACTCAACAGATATCAAACATTATCCTGATCTCTCTTCTTTCTCTCTCTGCTGTCTGTGTGTTTGTCAGGTGTGTTTCATACACTCGCCTCATCGGATACCAGAAAAGACGGTAATGAGCTCTTTATGTGCAGATACAGCAACATGTAAAGATGGTGGTGAGAGAGTCCTTCTGCAAAGTCTTCTGGTTGCTTGAGGTTCATTTATGATAAAAGTCTTCATTTGCAACAATAGTTAAAGTCCAGATGAAACGGAAATCGTGAAACAGATGAGTGCTATTTGCTTCTGCATGTTTCCTGTAAAAACAGGCAGTTAGGGAGGGAAAGGGGCCGATAGTGGTAACACACAGCACTAATGGCAGCTACATTAGCAGTTAGCAGAGTTGAGGCAGAGCAGCCGGAGGAATATGGTCCAGTTTTCACCTAAATCACTGATAAAGTTGTGCTTTTGTAGAATAATCAGTGACATTCTGCCCCCAGAAACACTTCTCTCTGGTAGCGAACCATGTTTTTAGCTAACTAGCAAACTTTTAAAGTTAAAGTTGATTGACGGGTGAATATCATGATATTATTGGCTATGCGTCACATTTTGTTTTACAGGAAGAAAAATCTAGTTTTTGTAGATTGTTTAGCATTCATGGTTAAATAGGGGTAACATTAACTTGTGTATGCGATCTTAAAGGGTTAAAAAAATTAATTTCACCTGGCCTTTAAAGCAGCGACAAGGAATTTTGCTTTTGTGCTGATTCTGGGAGACCCTGTAGACAAAGCAGTAGGAAGCGTTGTCTACTGTCTTGTGTCATTGATTTCAAGGGGAGTCTGACCAAACTCAACCTTGTGGCAGGAATTAAGAATAACTATATAGAAATAGCCAATGTTGTCGCTGATGGTCTTGTTTGTTTATGTAGTCATATAGAAATATCAGTATTAAATAAGACTCTTTCATAACCAGTTCTTCCAGTAGGTTTAACGTCTATCAGACACAATCAAATTCAGAGAACAGTGGCGTGCTCAAAATGAAATCACAGCTGCCTCAACAAGCTGAGCACGAATATAATTTATCCCAAGAACGTATCTCTTGGTTTGGAGAGCTGGACCGGGTCAATTAGGGTCTTCAGGTGCACTTACAAAACACTAAAAAGGGTTAATCCCATTGGTCGGGTGTCAACTGCAGCCATAACAGCCTCCATCTTGTTTTGTTTTTTGCAGCCATTCTGAGAGTCATTCCCAACAGATCCCAGTTCTTCCAGTACGGGACTGTCACTGTGAGCTGTGGGCAGCAGGGAGAGTGGAGAGTTAAGAAGAACACATCTCAAAACATGAACCAAGATTGCTTCACATCCTGGGGTGGAATAAATGAATCCCTCTGTTTCACCAATGACCTTTACCCATCAGACAGTGGAGTGTACTGGTGTGAGTCTGCAGAAGGAGAGTGCAGAGATGCCGTCAACATCACTGTGACCAGTGAGTTTAAACAATAAAAAACTGCTGTTGTCACTCTACATATCCTCCTGTGAGAGACAGGACACATACAGGGTTTTGATCACCATACTTGATGCATCATACTGGCAAAAGATCTTGTAAATTATACTGATCTGTCCCTCAGGTGGCTCTGTGATCCTGGAGAGTCCTGTTCTTCCTGTGATGGAGGGAGACAATGTGACTCTGCGCTGTACAAACAGGACTCCCTCGGCCTCCAATCTCACTGATTTCTACAAAGACGGGTTTCTGATCAGGAGCAGCTCTACGGGAAACATGACCATCCACAGTGTCTCTAAATTTGATCAAGGACTCTACAAGTGCAGCATCTCTGAAGCTGAAGAATCACCAGACAGCTGGCTGATTGTCAGAGGTGAGAATTTTTTAAGAAGCATATCTATGTATCCAGTCCCATGTTCCCAGTGTCCCAGTGTCCCTTGTTCCCCAGTTTAATATTCTTTACCCCTCCTATTATGTTTGGGTCAAAATTCTGGTCATATTCTTCTTGCAACACTACAAGGTCCTATCCCCTGACCATTGGGTTATCCTTATCCCAACCATCTTCACTTAACCCTGACAACATAGGACTTTGGAAATACAGGACTATTGGAACATAGGGCTCTGGGAACATTGGACTTTGGGAACATGGGATTTTGGGAATATAAGACTCTGGGATCATAGACCTCTGAAAACATATGGCCCTCTGTCATGTTTGTCATTATCTGCCATATAAATATGGGGAACATAAGAATCTGGGAACATAGGACCATGGGGAAAAAAGTCTTCTAGGAACATGGGGCTCTGGAAACACTTCTATACCTCAAAATCTCCTCTTAGCAAGCTGATTGGGCTTGTTTTGAGTTGGAGTTTTGGATTTGAGACACGATTGGGTCCAAAATTGCAAATTAAACTAATCTAATATACGATATTTATGTAAAGTAATTCTGTAATATCATATTATAAACACACAAAGTTGAAAAACAGATGGATACATTTGGTTTATATTTCTGATTCACTGCATGAGAAAAAATGAAACTGTCAAATATTAGCTAACTGTTTTGCTCCTTGCGTCCAATGTTTAAGTTGCACAATTAAATTAAACTCAATAATCTCCCTCCAGTGTCAGACTCAGCAGTTCCCGATGCTCCTGAGATGTCTGTGTCCAGACTGGTATGTCACATAGTCGTAGGGACTCCTTACCTGGTGTCCACCATCATACTGGGACTCATCTACAGAGACAGAAGAGGTGAGAGCTAACACTACTGATCCAGATTCGTTCTTTATCTTTCTTCTTCTTCACGATTCTTCTTCATGTTGCAGCTCCTCGGCTTGTTGCAGAGGACAGAAGACATGACGTCATCATGGAGGTGCAATAGATGATGTCTGTGTCACATTTTTATTTGTGAATTAGTTTGTGTGTGTTTTTAAATTGTATGCTCATGAAAAACCTTTTTCTGTGTCTGACATTTATTTTGTCAAAAAGTGACGTGAGATTACAAAGAATAAAATAATTAATTAATGTAACAAAAACACTGGTATAGTTAAGAAAGCTGCTCAGAAATATACTGGGGAGCCAATGAAGGGAACTAAACAAAAGAAAAAGAAAGTCAAAATAAGTACTGCATTTTTCACAGGAAGCTCGGTGCAGAGCGGTACTGGCACCAGAGAGAAGACGTCTTCTTCCTGTTGTGGTTGAGGTTATGCAAAGAAAAGCAGCGGCCATTTTTTATGAGGTTATGTAGTGGTTTTATTTACAAACAGGTACAGGGAGAGATTAAGAGCCACGTCCTCCATCCAGTGGTGCAGCTTAATTATGGTCGTGTCGACAAGTTCACAGAAAATATTCTAAAAGACGATGATTCAAGGAGGCTCTGCCAGATATCAGTTCATCTGTCACATCCCTATCCGCCTGTTCACCCTGCTGCCATTTGGGATAAGAAGCTTTTTCCCTTAGTCATTCTTTTTCAACTCACTTTTTCTAGCGTAAAGGGAACTATATTTAAATTTAATTCTACAACCATGGTTGTGAATGACAGTAAAATATCCTTGAATTGTGTTCCCGGGAAACCTTTAAACGGATTGGTGGTATTGATTTTTTTGTTCCCACCCAGAACTGCAGATTCAGTCTTTTTAGAAATATGTCTTTATTTAGGAAAATATCTGATCTGTTACTTCTTAAATTTTGAGGAATTCTGTCTGAAATGTAATTTTTAGTGCAACTGTATGATAAGGTTCCCTAAAGCAACTTCTTTTATTTTTCCTTTAAATTAATTATTATTTTTATTTTATTCAGGGTGTGAACTACAGGGGAGCCTCTTAATAAGATATGAACTCCCCTGAAAACATGATTTGTGACATTCTGGGTGGTAATAATGGTAATAACAGCCCCTCCAAAAGACATTTTAGCTTTTTAGCTGCTAGAAAAAATTCTTTTTAGTATGTAAAATGTTTTATTTATTTCTTTCTAGAAGATTGTGATGCATGCATTGCAGAAGAAAGTTAAATAATTCATCAAAAACTGAAGGCAACTTGTTTCCAGTGAGACAGTGATTGAACTTCCTGGAGGGACTTGTAAGGGTTAACTCATCACTAATCCACTTTAAAAATGATTCTTCTGCTCCTACCATCACCGCTGGAGCGTGACAGCCAAATATCATTAACTTCAGATCACAAAATATCAGGAAATATCCAACTGATTTTATTTTCTGTCTCTGATTAAGGTTTAATATTTCTGCATTGTTTCCATATAACAACATAGTTTGGGCTCCTAATAACTCATATTCTTTCTAATATTCTAAATATCCTATTATTAATACTTATTTCAGGGCCTTAAACCTTAGAATTTACATTTACTGCCCCTCTTATTACAGAGCGACTGTTCTTACCCGGATATGATGAAACCGAAACTCGGTCTCTGATTGGCTAGGAGCGCTGTCTGCCTTTAGCGTTGACTGTATATGAGTCTTTAGTCTGTTTATTAAGGCCAGTTTTATGTTTTATCTCAGGATTTTTGTGCTTCACTTCACTTTTCTCTCCTGGACTTTATATCCGAGAACCGGAGTCTGGACCTCTGATGAAGGTAAACTCACGTTTTTCGTTACTTAACGTTACTTTGGTCGAGTTCCTGTTACGTTAGCAAGTTTAGCTTAACTCTATGAACACTGTGAACCTTCGGGTCGACTGTTGGCGACAGTTGGTTTCTTTAGGCAACAAGAATTGTATTGATGAAGTTAAATGCTTTATTGTGTAATATTGATTGGGATAAATAATAACTAACTCAACTCTAATGCACTGTCACACTCACTTTAGCCACCATTAGCCTCCTGTTGATGCTACTCCAACCGGTATTTTCACAATAAAAGGCCTCTGCGTGAGAGGAAATATTCAGTCTCCTCACATTCACTTCACACACCATCCACCTCCTGCTGAGGATGCTACAACAGGTTATTTAACAACTAAAGGCTTATATGTCTGTAGTTTTATTATTATAAAGGAGTGTTAGTAATCCCCCTTTTTAAAATGCAAGGAACAAAACAGAAAAACAGGGAAAATGTGCAACTGAAATAAACATTAGTGATTATATTTTATCATTTTTGTATGTTGTTTTTCCTTAAACATAAAAGTATCCACTTATCTTTGTTGTATCTAAATTGGACAAAAAGGTGTGTGCACTAAATATTCAAGGTCTATTTCTGTTGCCATATTTATTTAGAAAATTCCATATAATCTTACTTTATCAATCTCAATTAATTTAATTTTCTTTTGTTTGTATTTTCAGTGTGATTTGGGTGTGTTTAAATATAATATGTAAATGCAACTTTAATCAGAAAGCACTAAATATAAGATGGAGTGTGTATTTGTCGGGTAATTCCTGAAGGCGGCCGATTCATAAAGACATCCTGATTAAAATTAAATGTTTCATTCTGATGATGACTCTTTGTTTTGAGAAGAGGAAAGGAGGCAGGAGGACAGTAATGCATTGTAGTCATAGTTTCTAAATATTTCTCCCAATAAATACGTCCCAAATTATACAAAAGCATTTATTTTCCTGAATACCTGTTGTAGTATCATCCACACAAGGCCGGTGACGTGTGGAGTCATTTTGGTGAGGCTAGAATATATTAAGGTCCAGTTATTGATTATTTTTTGTGGTATGTCTTTATTAAATTTTGTTGACGGGTGTACATAGAGATTATTATGATTAGTGACGTCAACATCGAGGTAAACTGTTATTTTTCTGAATATGTTTCCAACTTTACTGCGATCGTAAAACTGTCACAAAGGTTTCAACGTAAAGAAACTCTGACCCTAGGGTTTAAATGTTCTCTGTTGTCCAGGTCAGCCTCGTGTGGTCGGGTCTCTTCAGCCAATCGTCACCGTTCTGGGCGATGACGTCATCCTGCCGTGCCGCCTGCAGCCTTCGTTAAACGTGGAGCGGCTGACGGTGGAGTGGTCGAGGCCCGACCTGAAGCCCGACCCCTCAGATCGGCTCGGTCGGGTCAACTATGTGCACCTTCACAGAGGCGGCCACGACAACCTTGACATGAAGCTCCGGTCGTACGTCGGGAGGACGGAGCTCTCCAAGGACGGCCTGAAGAGCGGAGACATCTCGCTCAAGATCCTGAACGTGACGCTGGAGGACGGAGGGAGATACAGATGTTTCATCCCGAAGCTAAAGGGCCCAGTGAAGGAATCAGTTGTTACACTTGTTGTAGGTGAGTGCAGTTGTTTACATCAGGGGCCAAACTTTGGGTCTTGGAGGGCCGAGACTCAGTCTGAATATTCATAGATGAGAGCTTTATTTGTATTTTCTGCCCAAAGGTCAAAACTAAACGATGAATTTGTGAACGTGTATTGAGGAAAATTAATGTGTTTTTGTGTAATATTTATTGGGATAAATAATTACTAACTCAACTCTTATGCACTGTAGTCCCATCACATTCACTTTAGCCACCATTAGCCTCCTGTTGACGATGACTTCACACACAATCCACCTCCTGCTGAGGATGCTACAACAGGTTATTTGACAAATAAAGGCTTTATTATCTGTACTGTTATGTGTCTGTAGTTTTATTATTAAATTGGAGTTCTAATTTCACTACTGCTATAATAGCAGTAATCCCCCTTTTTTAAAATGCACACAAACCAGATGTGAAGCTAAACAAGGAACAAAACAGAAAAACAGGGAAAATGTGCAACTGAAATAAACATTAGTGAATATATTTGATCATTTGTCAGTGTTTGTGTTTGTTTAAAGTAGATCAAATCAGAAAGAAAACTAAATATAAGATGGAGTGTGTCTTTGTTGGGTAATGCCTGAAGGTGTCCGATTCATAAAGACATCCTGATTAAAATTAAATGATTAAACATGGTGGTGGTGTTGTGTAGACATTGGAGGTTTCCAACTTTACTGCAGTGGGAAAACTGTCACAAAGGTTTCAACGTAAAGAAAATCTGACCCTAAGGTTTAAATGTTCTCTGTTGTCCAGGTCAGCCTCGTGTGGTCGGGTCTCTTCAGCCAATCGTCACCGTTCTGGGCGATGATGTCATCCTGCCGTGCCGCCTGCAGCCTTCGTTAAACGTGGAGCTGCTGACGGTGGAGTGGTCGAGGCCCGACCTGAAGCCCGACCCCTCAGATCGGCTCGGTCGGGTCGACTATGTGTACCTTTACAGGGGCCGTCGGGAAGACACGGACATGAAGCTCCAGTCGTACGTCGGAAGGACAGAGCTCTCCAAGGACGGCCTGAAGAACGGAGACATCTCGCTCAAGATCCTGAACGTGACGCTGGAGGACGGAGGGAGATACAGATGTTTCATCCCGAAGTTAAAGGGCCCAGTGAAGGAATCAGTTGTTACACTTGTTGTAGGTGAGTGCAGTTGTTTACATCAGGGGCCAAACTTTGGGTCTTGGAGGGACGAGAATATTCAAAGATGAGAACTTTGGATTTTCTGTCCAAAGGTCAAAACTAAACTAGGATTTTGTGAACAACTTATGTGACCGTCGTCCTATAATTGTTTTTTCTCTTTAATATTGTGTTTTAAATCATTATAAATCTGTTTTTTCAGAACCAAACTCTGTTCAAACGACGACAGAGATGCCTCTGGATGACAGAGATCTCCAAACTCCAGATCCAAACAATGAGATTAACGTTAGAGGTGAAGAATCTTCTGCGTTGTCAGAAACTGAATCACACTTTGTGTTTATTTCAGTCACTGTAACTTTTCTCTCTGTTTGCTTTCTTCACATCAGCTGGTCGTCTCTATCTGTTTACACTGATCCCGTCTTTGGTTATCATCTTCTTACTGCTGCTGGCCTATGGAGTCGGTGAAACCTACCTACGCGGGGCTTTGTCTAGCACACGGCCGTGATGGTCGAGGGAGTGCTGGTCCTCATCCCTCAGGGCCCCGCCTTCTCCTCGTGTCAATGTTTACAACTTCATTGATCAAAGTGTGAGAACAGGAATCTGGTTAAACTGCTCGAGAGATGTGGAATGATATTTCCAGCTAATGAGCATTTATAATTCAGTATTTAATCAATAGTCAGTGTCAATCCATTGCCTTTCATCTTACATCACAGAGTTTTAAAGTTATTGTTATGTAAAATTATGAGTGCCATCACATCACGCCCAGTAGGGTTGAGTGATGTGTTCACTGGACCTTCAGTCCAACAATCGGTTATATATTAAGTGCCTCCGATTGTTGACATTACTTGCAACGAGCTCTGACAGCAATAATAAAGAAAATAAACTCACTAAAGAAAAACACTTTTCAACTTAAAACAGTAAATATGTATAAATATATAAAATACCGTACGCCTTAATTAAAGCTTCCAAACTGAGACCTTGTTAAAGGATTTTAAAACACGTTCAAACTCTACAGAAGCTGAATCAAACTCACTAAACCGTCTCTGTTAGTCTTTACACTATTCCAACAATCACTAACTCTGCTGTCTGATGCCCCCGACCTCCCTCACTCCTCTACCTGCCCCCCAGCCTGCCCCGGAGTCAGAGTCCTGGTTGGCGTCTCTCTGACTCGTCCAAATAAACCCTGAATTCACAGAAGTTTAATGTGTAAATTCTCTACAGCTGAGTAGCTTTTATTCTTTAGAGGCAGGACATTAAGTTAACTAAATAAAATAACAAAAATCAGCCAAAACAACAAAACAACCATTGATGGCCTTAGCCGATATAGTCATCCAATCGCACACATCTCTTTTTAAATGGGCAGCTGTGGTTCAGGAGGTGGAGCATCCACGTAGAAGTGTCCGTGTCCCGAACCCTGAGTCGGTCCTGATGCTGCACTGTCAGTGTGTGAACGTGTGAATGTGGCGCGTAGTGTAAAGAATGGATGTAAGCAGAGAACAAAGCCATTAAAATACCTCTTTCCCTTTAAATGTTACGTTGTTGATGCAGTGTTGTACGTCTGGGATTGTGCGGTACTGTCAGGGTTTTTTAAAACTTTTCTACAATGTGTTTGTACTGTATTATTATTATTGTCGAATGTTACTGCTTTGATGTTGACTTGAACAGTGAAATATGAATTTGTAATACAGTGAAATAAAACCTATTTTCAGACATTCAGTGTTCATTGTGTCTGTCTGTCTCTCAGCCAACCTCTGTCTGATGTTGAGCTAAAGTCTCTTCTAATATAGTCTCACTGAAGCATTATCTATCAGTTTATACACTCCCCTCTGTTCTCAGTTGATATTACAGTAGATAGAAACCTTATATTGTCTGCCAGTAGAGTTTAGAATACAACAGTTGACTTATTACCATTATTATATATCAGGCTCTACATGGTGGAGCCCCTGAGCACATTTCTGAATGACTGCGACCATATTGGATCTTAAAGTCTTGTAAATACCTCCAGAGGCGAAAGAGCTTCACTTTAAACCCTCTTGATCACAACAGCTGCAGTGGCTGCGGTGTAAAAGCTACAGATTATTTATGGTCTATGCTTTCTGGTGTGATATGTACGATTGGCTGTAACGTTTCACCAGAGATTATTATTATTACATCAGGGTCACAGAAGGTAAGAAAACAGAATTTCTGTTGAATATTAGATTTATTTTAGGAAAATCCTTTAATCCACAAACACAAATGTATTAAGACACAGCCCTTAATGTAAAGGTTTTAATGAAAGAATTAACTCTGTACTACAAATCCCTGAAATCTATAGAAAATAACAATGATTATAACAGTTTTAGTTTTATTTCTGTCTTTTATTAAGGTTTAACATTGTTTACATTGTGTCATACTGTACTATAATTATACTTCTACCCGGAAATGCCCGAAGGTTACCTTTATTCACGAAGTCACATCATCTCATTCATGTGGCGTTAGCTGTCAGGACCAATGAGCAGCAGAGGGGCGGGGACAACAGAGGTGGGGGAACTCCAATGTACTGTGTTACTGGTTCATGCCACGCTGTTGTCAGTCTGTCAGCTCCCCGCGAACAGTTCTGTCGGATCAGTTTTCCGGGTCTCTTCGGGGAGTTTGGACCTGGACTGTGTATTTGAGAATCTTACTGAGTTATTTATTTAAGTTAACGGTCGCGTTAAAGTTACTTTCTGTTTAATGACTGCGCAGTCACATGGGTTCAGGCACGAGGACCCTGCATCCGGTGAGATATGATGATGATGATGATGATGATGATGATTTTGTTGTGATGTTGTTGGAATAGATTTGTGTTTGCTTGGTGTTTGGGGGAAGAGGGCGTGTGTGTTTGTGTGTTTGTCTGTGTTTGTCTATGTGTGTATATGTGTGTGTTTGTGTGTGTAGGTGTATGTATATGTGTTTATTTGTATGTATGTGTATAGGTGTGTATATGTGTGTGTGTGTGTGTGTGTGTGTGTGTGTGTGTGTGTGTGTGTGTGTGTGTGTGTGTGTGTGTGTGTTTGTTTGTGTGTGTGTGTGTGTTTGTGTGTTTGTCTGTGTTTGTCTGTGTGTATATGTCTATATGTCTATATGTGTGTGTATATGTGTGTATATATATGTGTGTGTGTGTATGTGTTTCCATATGTGTTTATGTGTGTGTTTGTGTGTATAGGTGTATATATGTGTGTGTGTATATGTGTATATATGTGTGTGTGTGTGTGTGTGTGTGTGTATGTATATGTGTTTATATGTATGTGTGTGTATAAGTGTATATATATGTGTGTGTTTATGTGTGTGTTTGTGTGTATAGGTGTATATATCTATGTGTATGTGTATGTGTTTGTGTATGTGTGTGTATAGGTGTATATATATATGTGTGTGTTTATGTGTGTGTGTGTATAGGTGTATATATATATGTGTGTTTATGTGTGGGTTTGTGTGTATAGGTGTATATATATGTGTGTATATGTGTATATGTGTTTGTGTGTATAGGTGTATATATATGTGTGTGTGTGTGTGTCTGTGTGTGTGTGTGTGTGTGTGTGTGATGTGTATGTATATGTGTTTATGTGTATGTGTGTGTATAGGTGTATATGAACTTTTAATGTATTCATTAACTAGCTGTTAAAGATGTCAAACTAACACTAAGTTGTTTTTTTCTTTATTATAGCTGAACATAAACACCCAGAGGCCTGTTCCCTGAAACAAACAGAGTCACAGGGAACTCACCGTTGGAGAATTTCAAGGTTATGGTTGGTTCCATTTTCCTATTCTGGACTTTGACTGTATGTTTGAGTACGACAGCCTCGACTTCCAAAGAAGGTAAGCTTGTGGAATTATTGAGAAGTAAACTACAAGTTGAGATAATGTTATTACTGTCACTCATAACTCAGATCCCAAGATTTAAATGTTCTCTGTTGTCCAGGTCAGCCTCGTGTGGTCGGGTCTCTTCAGCCAGTCGTCACTCACATTGGCGATGACGTCATCTTGCCGTGCCGCCTGCAGCCTTCGTTAAACGTGGAGCGGCTGACGGTGGAGTGGTCGAGGCCCGACCTGAAGCCCGACCCCTCAGACTGGCTGACTCTGATTGTGCACCTTCACAGAGGCGGCCACGAAAACACGGACATGAAGCTCCGGTCGTACATCGGGAGGACGGAGCTCTCCAAGGACGGCCTGAAGAGCGGAGACATCTCGCTCAAGATCCTGAACGTGACGCTGGAGGACGGAGGGAGATACAGATGTTTCATCCCGAAGTTAAAGGGCCCAGTGAAGGAATCAGTTGTTACACTTGTTGTAGGTGAGTGCAGTTGTTTACATCAGGGGCCAAACTTTGGGTCTTGGAGGGTTGAAATGGTTTCTCTTTAATATTGTGTTTTAAATTATTATAAATCAGTTTTTTTCAGAACCAAGCTCTGTTCAAACGACGATAGAGACACAGCTGGATGCCAGACAAATCAAAAATCCAGATCCAAAGATCCCAAGTTAGTCACTTATTTATGTAAACCATGTACAACTCCAACGCTAACTTTGTGTTCTTTGTACATCAGTCACTGTAACTTTTCTCTCTGTTTGCTTTCTTCACATCAGCTGGTCGTTCCCATCTGGGCGCTCTGATCGTTGTGGTTGTCTGCGTCTTACTGGTCCTGGGTGGTGGAGTCGGTGGATATTTACTTAAACACAAGAAACCACAGAAAGTGAGTGTAAATCCTTGTTGTGTAAATCATACCAGACTTTTTAAGGAGACAGCTGACTAATTATTAAACTTCTGTTCATTGTCTTCCAGCTTCTGGGGGTATGAATTTTACCAAAACAAACCATCTCCAGTCTAGGTGCACGTTGGTGCTTGATGTTAAAGGAGGTGAGAATGTTTCCTGCTCTTGGATCTGTCTCATCAGTTCGGTGATTCAAACCAGCAGCAGGTCCAGCTGAAAAGGAATCACCTCAACCAGAGAACATTTCAAGGGCCTGTTTAATGATGGCGACTGAGAGTTTTGACTCTCTGAGGGAGGAGTTAAAGAGTTTGATGGTCACAGACAGGAATGACTTCTTGTGCCAGTCTGTGGTGCGTCTCTGTGGAATGAGTCTTGCACTGAAAGTCCTCCTGTGTTTGACCAGTTCATTGTTAGGGTGGGAGACATTGTCCAAGATGATATATAGCTTGCACAGCATCCTCCTCTCTGACACCGCTGTCAAAGAGTCCAGCTCGTCTAGCTCGCAGTGAGCAGGTGCCATCGTGTCATATCTGTGAAACACACGAACACCTCGGCCAACAAATAGTCATGAATTCTATTCTGGTATCTGGCAGGCAACAGTGAAACTCTTCCTGCTTCTCAGGATGATTATGGATTACTTGGTCATTGTCCAAAAGATTGGAATGAAGCACCACATGTTCAATTCAATTCAATTCAATTTTATTTGTATAGCGCCAATTCAAATAGAGCCGGTCTAGACCGAACTCTATAACATTATTTGCAGAGACCCAACAGTACCACCATGAGCAAGCACTTGGCGACAAGGGCAAGGGAAACACTGCCTGTTAAAAGGCAGAAACCTAGGACAGATCCTCCGGCTCTAGGTGGGTGGTCGTCTGTCTCGACCAGTTGGGGTGAGAGAGAGAGAGAGAGGCAGAGAGAGAGAGAGAGAGAGAGAGAGAGCGAGAGAGAGACAGACAGACAGGTGCACAGCAACAACAGTATTGACAGTGTTGCCTTCAGATCAACCTCCGTAAATCAGGGGTCGGGTGCAGCTGCAGAGGTTGCACCTCACAAACTAGTTCCTCCAGAGATTAGTTGAGTGTTTAGTTCGAGAAACATTCAGAATACAAGCTGAGGTTGTCACATTCAGAGCTGAATTTTCTGTTTTTATAAAAACTAAATTTAACTTTAAGAACTCTACACTCCCTGAACATCAGCTGTGAAAGTGCCTTTGAGCAGGGCACCTAGCCCACACTGAATGTATATACTATATATATATTTATATGTTGTCATTGTTGACAGTGTTCTGTTTATTTAAAATTATTTTATATTTTGTTATTCTGTTTTGAGACATAAAGGTGAAATGTGAGTTAAAGTTAAACCTGTTCAGACTAATTTAAATCATAGTTAATGGTGTTAAAACTGAAGTTGTCTGGCACATTCAGAGATTAATTCCACTCCCTGAACATCAGCTTTGTAAGTGCCTTTGAGCAGGGCACCTCGCCCACGTAAAATATTCACCTCATGTGTTATGCTGTTCACGCTCTAAATAAAATCTGGGTTTCCCCAATAAAACGGAGGCATTTTTTTGTTCTTTGCAGCAGCAGTGAGACCTTCAGATCTTAGATCCTGAAGGAAGTTGACTTTACATTCTGTCACTCATTTTCTTTGAGTGAGCAGCCGGAGACACTACCTCACCTTGGAACTTGAGAGTAACTAAAAACAACTGTAATGAATACAGTATTTATTATCTTATTTAAAACATATTAACATTTACATTAACATCTATTTATTTAAGAAAAAGCTTAAGTAAAAGTTAAAGTATTTACTTGCTTGTGTTAGATTCTGAATAAAAGTCTCCAAAGTGGTATTAAATGTTAGTATTTTAATGTTCTTTATACATCTGTTACATTCTGGAGGTTATGTATCTGCTGGTTGTCCAGTTGTGTGTCCCTCTACTGTTAAAACAGTGAAACTACAGTCTAAAGTCATTGTACATGGAGTCTGTGAAGGCTGTGAGGATGAATGAGGAGTACTCTATGGAAGCCCATTTCCACCAATGTAAGGAGGAAAATATTCTGTAAGTCTGATGGTATGAAGGTGTTCTGTCATTAACCAGAATATTTTAGAAGTTGAACCTCATGATGGCGCCAGAATTACCAAATTTGAAACCATTTCTGAACCAAAGGTTTTAGAGAGGTTTCAGATTGGGCCAATGTGCTGGACAGACTGACATACACACTGCTAGCATGGGTAAAAACAGCTTTGGGACTCAATAATAGAGAAAATGACTAAAGATGGAGATTTTACATTTAAAACTTAAAACTATCATAAAGCTCCAATGAAAGACAATCCAAATGATCAACATCTGTGGACATGAATGAAATACAATCAAACAAATTAGGACAGGACTGCAGTTTACAGATGTTCAAGACGACAAACTTCCATTTCCAACCACTCGTTCTTCTCATAAAAACATTCACATAAAATGTGGCAAGATTTCTCTCTAAAGGACCAGTGTGCAGGATTTGGTGGAGGTGAGAATGCAGATTGTACAAAACAACTTGACTCACACGTGTAGGAGAAACTACGGGGGCTGCAAAACGCAGTGTTTCAAACACTCGCCTCATCTGATACCAGAAAAGAAGGTAATGAGCTCTTTATGTGCAGATACGACAACATGTAAAGATGTACAATATACAGAATTGAATAATTGGCCAGCTATAAACTCACACAGTGTTGAAGGATTCAGTTTGATTCCTGATGTACTGCAGGAGAAGAGCTGGACTGGTGAAGCTGTTTTGAAGGCCTCTGTGCAGGCTGTAACACAATCAAGAAGCAGTAACAAAAAGTGGTCTCCCTCATATATTTAATTTGATCTGTGTTGTCAGAAACTGAATCATACTTTGTGTTTATTTCAGTCACTGTAACTTTTCTCTCTGTTTGCTTTCTTCACATCAGCTGGTCGTTCCCATCCTGGCACTCTGATCGTTGTGGTTGTCTGGGTCTTACTGGTCCTGGGTGGTGGAGTCGGTGGATATTTACTTAAACACAAGAAACAACAGAAAGTGAGTGTAAATCCTTGTTGTGTAAATCATACCAGACTTTTTAAGGAGACAGCTGACTAATTATTAAACTTCTGTTCATTGTCTTCCAGCTTCTGGAGTATGACGATGCCCCAAACAAACCAGTCTAGGTGCCTTGCTCAAAGGTGCGTTGGTAGTTGATGTTAATGGAGGTGAGAGTGAGCAGCAGGTCCAGCTGCAAGTGAACCAGCTGGATCAGCAGCAGTGAGACCTTCATGGTGAATACTGAGCAGAATCAGAATCAGAATCAGGTTTATTGCCAAGTAAGTTTTCACAAAAGGAGGAATTTGCCTTGGTACATTGGTGCATAGGAATCAGGATAAAAATGAAAATAAGATTTAAAAAAATATAAACAATAAAAAGGAGCTGTACAAATGCAAACAGTGAGAGAATATGTACAAAATGGCCGGACACTTAAATAAATGAATAAAGAGCTGAATAGAAATGTGCATAACAATGGACTGACAGGTCTGCAAGTTAGCAGAGTGAAATATATAAAGACATCTGTAATGTGCAAGATAAGAAACATGAATGTAATGTATATATACAGGGTGGGTTTAAGAGCCGGTGTCAGTGGGGGTCCCGGGTCTTATTGATTAGATTCAACTTTATTGTCATTGCACAAGTACAGGTACTAGGCAATGAAATGCAGTGAAGCATCTAACTAGAAGTACAAAGCAGTAAAGTAAATGGACAGGTACTTGTATAGCGCCTTTTGTAGTCTTCCGACCACTCAAAGCATTATTTAACATTATAGATACATATATGAATATACTAGCAGGATATTTACAGTATGAACGGCATTAACAGAATGAACAGAGTGAGGAATACACCAAGATATATACAACTGTTAAGATATTTACATTTTCATGTAAAACCATTTTTCTTTTATTTCATTTCAGCCTTTACTGGCTTTTTGATTTTTCTGTAATGCCATACTGACATTGGGAAAATGTTATATGCCAAATTACAGTCATAACGTTGTTAATTCACTGTTTATTATTATGTGTGTGTCAGAGTTTTAGATCACAGTAAGTACATGCGACTTCTGTCTCCAGGAAGACAATAATAAACACACTTGACAGTACTGTCCATTTACTATTTAACAGTACTTATAAGTAAGCATTTGTTTGTGGAAAGCTACCTGGTGATTTTGTACTGTATTATTATTATTGTCGAATGTTACTGCTTTGATGTTGACTTGAACAGTGAAATATGAATTTTTATTACAGTGAAATAAAACCTATTTTCAGACATTCAGTGTTCATTGTGTCTGTCTGTCTCTCAGCCAACCTCTGGCTGATGTTGAGCTAAAAGTCTCTTCTAATATAGTCTCACTGAAGCATTCTCTATCAGTTTATACACTTCCCTCTGTTCTCAGTTGATATTACAGTAGATAGAAACCTTATATTGTCTGCCAGTAGAGTTTAGAATACAACAGTTAAGTTATTACCATTATTATATATCAGGCTCTACATGCTGGAGCCCCTGAGCACATTTCTGAATGACTGCGACCGTATTGGATCTTAAAGTCTTGTAAATACCTCCAGAGGCGAAAGAGCTTCACTTTAAACCCTCTTGATCACAACAGCTGCAGTGGCTGCGGTGTAAAAGCTACAGATTATTTATGGTCTATGCTTTCTGGTGTGATATGTACGATTGGCTGTAACGTTTCACCAGAGATTATTATTATTACATCAGGGTCACAGAAGGTAAGAAAAAAGAATTTCTGTTGAATATTAGATTTATTTTAGGAAAATCCTTTAATCCACAAACACAAATGTATTAAGACACAGCCCTTAATGTAAAGGTTTTAATGAAAGAATCAACTCTGTACTACAAATCACTGAAATCTATAGAAAATAACAATGATTATAACAGTTTTAGTTTTATTTCTGTCTTTTATTAAGGTTTAACATTGTTTACATTGTGTCATACTGTACTATAATTATACTTCTACCCGAAAATGGCACGTCATCTGATACCATTTTTTTGGACCAATGAGCAACCAGAGCTGGATGATGCGGAGTCTGGAGAGAGAGAACTCCGGGGTTCATTCTGTGTCACTGGTTCATCCCACGCTGTTGTCAGTCTGTCAGCTCCCCGCGAACAGTTGGGCTCTGTCGGATCAGTTTTCCGGGTCTCTTCGGGGAGTTTGGACCTGGACTGTGTATTTGAGAATCTTACTGAGTTATTTATTTAAGTTAACGGTCGCGTTAAAGTTACTTTCTGTTTAGTGACTGCGCAGTCACATGGATTCAGAGACACACGGAACCGTCACAATGGATAGACGGTGAGACAAAACATGTTGTTGTTATTATGATGTTGCTGGAATAGATTTGTGTTTGCTTGGTGTTTGGGGGAAGAGGAGTGTGTGTGTGTGTGTGTGTGTGTGTGTGTGTCCAGAATGTTTATTCTATATTTACATTTACATTCTTTACAACCAGTCAAACCAAAAAGGGAACAGTAAACGTAAAAGTAGCAATAGAGAACTAAAAGAACAACTATTGTGTATTGGGGGCGCCCGCCGGTTATTTCAGTCGGTAGAGCTGGCGACCCGTATACGGAGCTGCTGCAGCGGTGCGGGTTCGAATCCGACCCGCTGCCCTTTGCTGCGTGTCATGCCCTCTCTCTCCACCCACCATCACTGTCTCCCTACAGCTGTCTCTATAAATAAAGCCATCAAAAGGCAAAAAAAATAAAAATTAAACAAAAAACTTGTGTCCGCCCCTCCTCCGAAATCAAAATTTCGTCCTGGTATAGGTGTATATGAACTTTTAATGTATTCATTAACTAGCTGTTAAAGATGTCAAACTAACACTAAGTTGTTTTTTTCTTTATTATAGCTGAACATAAACACACAGAGGCCTGTTCCATGAAACAAACAGAGTCACAGGGAGCTCGCCGTTGGAGAGTTTCAGGGTTATGGTTGGTTCCACTTTCCTATTCTGGACTTTGACTGTATGTTTGAGTGAGGGAGTCCAGACATCCAGTGAAGGTAAGATCATGTTTGTTGCTACTATTGCTTACACACACACACACACACACACACACACACACACACACACTAACACACACACACACACACTCTAACACACACTCTAACACACACACATTGAGCTGAAACAATTCATCAGTCCGTCGATTAGAAATAATCAATATTTTAGTTTTTCTTTGTCTTATAATAAACTGAATATTTTCTGGGTTTTGGACTGTTAGTCAAACGAAACTACTACAACTATTTAAAGACTATTAGCATTTTTTAGCATTTTATAGACCCAGTGATTGATCAGGAAAATGACTGGCAGGTTAATCAATGATGGAAATAATTGTTAGTTTATTAGTTAGTTACGAGCACAACTGAAGTAAAATACAGTTCAGTTTAGAAATATTGAGAAGTAAAATAATAGTTAATATTGTAGTAGTTACAGCAAATCAGATTAAAGACTTCACTCCATTTCCAGAAGATTAAAATTGTTCCTCCATTTCTCAGATCGTCTTCAGGTGGTCGGTTCTCGTCAGCCAATCAGGGCTCCTCTGGGTGATGATGTCATCCTGCCGTGTCATGTGGAGCCTCCACTCAGTGTGGAGAACATGACGGTGACTTGGTGGAAGTATGACCCTGAAGACACAGAGAGCAAAAACAAGTATGTCCACCGTTACCATAACAACCAGGACGTAGAGGACATGAAGCTGTCAGCATACGTTGGGAGGACGACTCTGTTCACAGACGGACTGAAACACGGCAACGTTTCACTCAAGATCACCAACCTGAAGCTCTCTGACCAGGGAATATACACATGTTTCATCATAGAGTTAAAGACCCAACAGAGGGGAGCAACCATTAAACTTAATGTTGGTAAGTGTTTTTAGATTAAGTAATAAACAAATGACTTATTATTAAACTCAATTTAGTTCATATGTATGTATATATGTACACACACAGGGTTTATCAGCCTTTCACACTTATTAGTAGAAGGTTAATCCATACTGTCACCATTAGATCAGCGTCACTTTGCTCATACATTTGTGTGTTAATAGGCTGTTATCTGACCTCTCTCTGTCTTATTGTTGCTGATAACCTACAGAATATAGTAGGCCAGCACTCTGCAGAGTACTGTGCCCTGTGTTGGTCACATTGTGATGTTTGGTTTTAATGTGTGGTTTGATGTGGTCATGAGCTGATTGTTTTAGTATCAGATGTGCTGACATGAAGCTCCTCACACTGTGAACAACCAAAAATGATTCATTTAATGAATTAATCATCATGTGAGAGTATATCCTCACAGAGCTGCTGACTGTAGACGTCTGCAAAGCTTTAAGTGTTATAATATTGTGTTTTAAATCATTATAAATCTGTTTTTTCAGAACCAAACTCTGTTCAAACGACGACAGGTGACAGAGATCTCCAAACTCCAGATCCAAACAATGAGACGAACGTTAGAGGTGAAGAATCTTCTGTGTTGTCAGAAACTGAATCACACTTTGTGTTTATTTCAGTCACTGTAACTTTTCTCTCTGTTTGCTTTCTTCACATCAGCTGGTCGTTCCCATCTGGGCACTCTGATCGTTGTGGTTGTCTGGGTCTTACTGGTCCTGGGTGGTGGAGTCGGTGGATATTTACTTAAACACAAGAAACAACAGGAAGTGAGTGTAAATCCTTGTTGTGTAAATCATACCAGAATTTTTAAGGAGACAGCTGACTAATTATTAAACTTCTGTTCATTGTCTTCCAGGTTCTGAAGTATGACGATGCCCCAAACAAACCATCTCCAGTCTTTGCTTTAGAGTCAGCAGCTGCATCATCTGTCCATTGCTTTCTTATAGACTACTCTTCTCTGTCAGATGATATATATTTACTTTTAATTCAATGTTGAATAATGTGACAAGAATGTGTCTACGATGTCATAATCTTTTTTTATTTCAGTCATGACCAATAAAGCCGCTCTTTCACTATAAAACTCTCTATTGTTCTATTTTATATACAAGTATTAGTTTTTCACTGTGTTGTATACTTTAAGGAAATATATTACGCCAAACTATCTTTAGGAAATATGACATTTTAACAATTGCTTTTGTGTCCGTAACAATTCAGACAGTCTGACTGGGCCTCAGTATAATCCATAAAGATTAACTTTTTGACCATGTTGTCTCCTCAACTCTGCAGTCTCCTGTGTGAGTGGGAGAAGACTGTGGGAATGAGAGACCGCTTTAATAATGATTATTTCTCACTGGCATAAGTGCTGGTTGGTGGATTAAATATACGCCGAATTACAGTCATAACGTTGTTAATTCACTGTTTATTATTATGTGTGTGTCAGAGTTTTAGACCACAGTAACTACATGCAACTTCTGTCTCCAGGAAGACAATAATAAACACACTTGACAGTACTGTCCATTTACTATTTAACAGTACTTATAAGTAAGAATTTGTTTGTGGAAAGCTACCTGGAGATTTTTTTTCCATGGTGTGACAAGCTGCTGATGTTTGTCAAGTTGTGTGGCTCCCTCTAGTGTTAAAACAGTGACACTACAATCTAAAGTAATGAACATGGAGTCTGTGGAGGCTGTGAGGATGAATGAGGAGTTCTCTTTCTTTAGACATTAAAAAGCTCCTCTGTCTACACTGCACTTCAAAGTCTGTACGCAGCCCAGAAAATACACCAAATAATCATTTTGAACAGCTGGTTTTCAGAACTCATGCAAAAGGCCCTATCTACAGCCAGTGTTTCTGTAGAAACATGGTGGTTCAGCCATTGACAGTATATATAATGGACAGAACTTCGGGATCAGTCTTAAACCTGCATTCTCTGTAATGTCCAGCAGTGGGCAATAAAAACGATACCATGCAGTATGGAGAAATGAGCCAACTTCTCAGTTGATTTATGAGCTCAGTAAACAGTTTCCTGATGAGTTTATGGTCTCAGTCTCTAGTTTCAGTCTTCTTCCATACAGCATGATGTTCATTTAGTTAATGATGGTCCCATTTAGAGTAAAACAGACCATAAAGCAGGGTATGCTTTAGGGCGGGGCTACCTTGTGATTGACAGCTCATTCTCAGTCAGTCCGTCCAGCTCAACGCACCAAACTCAGATCAAACTGTCAAACTAGGCAGAGCTGATCAGATATGGATCCAGATTCTGTTGTTGACTGTTTATCTCCTCAAATCTGTTCACAAACATATTAGTGTTTATCTGGAATACGAGATTGTGTGTGACCAGGCGAGACACCATTGTTTCCTGTTACAGACGAATTAAAACTGTGCAGCCAATGAGAGCAGCTCAACTCACAATAGGTGACCTCCGCTGGCTCCAACAAACTGTCATGGCGACGACTGCAAGGCTTCAAAATGGTTCTCCACAAACCGATGGCCCGATCCGTACCTGCTGTCCAAACAGCGACCTGTCTGTGGTGCACAAGAAGCCAACACAGAAGAAACAAAAACTGCAGTTCCTCTACCGAGTTCTTGAGACTGGCTCCAAAAGTGAGTCAATCTTTATATTAAAATGCCCAACTCTTCGGCAGGAATAAACTTGTTTACACCCTGGTTCAAAAAACAGATGAGTTGTTTCACCAGAAGTGTATCACAAGTGGGCTGGTTTCACATTTACACAGAGGAAGTGGTCAACACACTGTGTATATAGTTAGTCAGTCATTTTCCATTCAGCAATGAGACAGGATGAAGATCACTGTGCTAATTCTCAGCATTTGTAAGTAACAATGTCGTTGTTTTTGTGCTTTAACTTACAATATATCTCACAGGACAAACTCAACAGATATCAAACATTATCCTGATCTCTCTTCTTTCTCTCTCTGCTGACCGTGTGTTTGTCAGGTGTGTTTCATACACTCGCCTCATCTGATATCAGAAAGGAAGGTAATGAACTCTTTATGTGCAGATACAACAAAATGTGATGAGATTGCTAAGAGTCCTTCTCCAAAGTCTTCTGTTTGCTTGAGGTTCATTTATGATACAACTATCTGTTCAACTGACAAGCTGAGCACATATATAATTTGTCCCAAGAACAAATCTCTTGGTTTGAAGAGCTGGACCGGTGCCTCTCCAATCAGGGTCTTCAGGCGTACTTACAAAACACTAAAAAGGGTTAGTCACATTGGTTAAGTAGGTGCTGGCTGCAGCTGTAACAGCTTCCATGTTTTTGTTTCTTGCAGCCGTTCTTTTTCGACCCAGAGATCAATCAAGGAGGTATTGTTTCCCACTTGTTGTAGAATACATCGAACAGGCCACTACTGCGAAGAAGCTGATCAGGATCAGCGTTCTTTGCTTAAGTTTCTTGAGGTTCATTTATAATAAAAATCTCCAATGTGCCTCCATGTTTTTGTTTCTTGCAGCCGTTCTGAGAGTCCTTCCCAACAGATCCCAGTTCTTCCACTATGAGACTGTGTCTCTGAGCTGTGGGCAGCAGGAAGAGTGGAGAGTTAAGAGAAACACATCTAAAAACATCAACAAAGATTGCTTCACATCCAGGAATGGAACAAATGAATCCCTCTGTTTCATCGATGACCTTTACCCATCAGACAGTGGAGTGTACTGGTGTGAGTCTGCAGAAGGAGAGTGCAGAGATGCTGTCAACATCACTGTGACCAGTGAGTTTAAATAGAAACTGCTGTAGTTTGCTGATGCATCACTCGGGAACACAATCCTGTGAATAATAATGATCTGTCCCTCAGGGGGCTCTGTGATCCTGGAGAGTCCTGTTCTTCCTGTGATGGAGGGAGACGATGTGACTCTGCGCTGTACAAACAGGACTCCCTCGGCCTCCAATCTCACTGATTTCTACAAAGACGGGTTTCTGATCAGGAGCAGCTCTACGGGAAACATGACCATCCACAATGTCTCTCAATCTGATGAAGGACTCTACAAGTGTAACATCTCTGGAGTTGGAGAATCACTAGAGAGCTGGCTGACTGTCAGAGGTGAGATCATAATTTTCATCTGTACAACAAATAGCTGCTTCATTTTCCTTCTGATGCCCCTGGATGATCTTTTTATACTGATGACAGTTACTATATCGCCTCCACACCCCCAAATTCCCCCAAAGATTCCCTCTTAGCACAGTAATTTGAATTTGGTTCCTGTACAAGTGTACATTTAAATTAACCTTGGGCGCCCTGTTAGATCAGTCGGTAGAGCTGGCGACCCACATAGGGAGTTGCTGCAGCAGCCCCGGTTCGAATCCAACCTGCCACCCTTTGCTGCGTGTCATCCCCTCTCTCTACTCATCTTTCCTGTCGATCTTCAGCTGTCACTATCCTGAAAAGGCCACAAAATAACTTTAAAAAAAATTAACCTTATTTCAATATACAGAATTGAATAATTATCCTGTTATAAACTCACACAGTTGTGAAAGATACAGTTTAGTTATTGTGCCTTGCCTAAGCGAGCACAATACTACTATTCCTCGTGCTTATTATTATTCTTCCGTACGTTTTTCGGCGCGCTACTCCTCCCGCAGCTTTTATCGCACGTACACAAAAAAGGTATCAAAACGTGCGGCTCGGTGAGGACATTAGTGCTATGACTTTTCTTAGAGTTTCGCCAAACGGTTTGCCGACAAATCGCCAAAAAACGGTCCAAAAAATGAATGGGTGTGTATTGCGAGAACCTTCAACTGCCAGAGTGCGTGACATCATCGCTAGAGTGTGGGGAGAGAGAAAAAATTGTAGAAAAATAAATTTGTAAACTGCTCTCAAGAGCACAAATGTCACTCTACAGAAATAATTTATAGATAGAAACGTAGGTAAATCCGTTGGGGTCGCAGTGATACCACTGCTGAAGCTGTCAGAGAAATACTTTTGGCGGGAGACGCACTGATGCGCCAGCAACGCCCTCTCACGGCCCCATCTACTCCCATGTTAATTTTAGAGAAGAAATCTTGAAAGGAGCTCGTTGAACCTGATCCCCTCCCCCCTGTATACCGGTACATGTTCAGTAGGATGGAAGCGTCGGACATCTTCACCGAATCTGCCATGATTCACGTCTGAGTGAATGCCCGCTAGTGTCTTCCATTGAGGCTGCTTCTTATCAGTCCCTCCAGAAAAACGCGATTATGTGATCGCATAATTCAATGCATAATCAGCCAAAGTCTGCATATTTATGCGGGGGCCACATTTCTTCAAATACGCCGCACTTTCGCAGCATAAATTGCAGATTTCCGCGCAAAATATGCGGGGCTTGCATGATTTCATAATACCCGCATTTTCGTTGAAAAAGTCACATATATTTTAGCAGAAAGTTGAAAAATGTTGCGTTTACTTCACACAAGAGCAGCCATTTTCCCCTGTTGCCATGGGAACGTTATGAAGTGACGTAATTACCCGACGTGAACGTCATCCAAAAGCTGCAAACCCCGCGATGAAGCCGCAATGAAACCAGAACCCGCAAATCAGTCTGTTTTGTAAAACAGGAAGCACACATTTTATTTTTTAATATTTTATTTATTCATTTTTACAGAAGTTACAGCATATTCCTTTTGTAAAGCTACAGAACTTGTTTGACTCATCAATGTTTTGTAAGTTTGAGCCATGTGTTTATTAAGGTCTGAAATAAAACAAGATGAGAACTTAAATATTCCCAGCACTTTCTGTGATGTAGTATGCTTGCTTATCATAGGAAGTAATAAGAAATGACTCTTTACATTAAGGTAGTAGCCTAGTGAGAACAGGGTGTTGGGGGAATCACTTTTTTTTCTCTTTTTCATCAAACCGCAGTTTTTGCAAGTTCCCGCAATTTCATCGCATAAAATTGCATAAATATCCCACATATTCCATCGCATTTTTTAAGAAAACGTGCTGCATAATCAAGGATTTTTGCCAGCAACAATCACAAAAAATCTCCGCATTTTTCTGGAAGGACTGTCTTATGTCGCTGATGTATGTGATGTTGCGCCGTAAAGCAATTTGTGATTCTCGCAAGATTTGGCGGGACGCCACCTTTCAGACTTGCATTGCTGGTTCTGCCAACGGCGTCCCTCTCCTGCTTTGCTATCGGGATGATTCGCTATACTACGAGTTTGCTTACCATTGAAATGACTGCGAAGCTATTATATTAAGGTAAAAATCTTGCATAGTGTGCCTTTAAGTTGCACAATAAAATAAAACTCAATAATCTCCCTCCAGTGTCAGACTCAGCAGTTTCCGATGCTCCTGTGATGTCTGTGTCCAGACTGATATGTCACATAGTCGTAGGGACTCCTTTCCTGGTGTCCACCATCATACTGGGACTTATATACAGAGACAGAAGAGGTGAGAGGTAACACTACTGATCCAGATATACTTGTACTTTCAGTTTTTCTCTGTTTTATTCATTCTTCTTTTCTTCTTTCTTCTTCATCTTCAGCTCCTTGGCTTGTTGCAGACGACAGAAGACACAATGTCATCATGGAGGTGGAATAGATGACAAGACTGCACACAGATACTGAACATTTTATTGTTCATGTATGTCTGTGTTACATTTTTATTTGTGTATCTTTATAAAATGTCCTGCTTGTTAAAATTAGTTTTTCTGTGTGAATACAGATTAAATCAATGTTTTAACTTCTCAAGACTTACTTAAATTCCTTCTTTCTTTTTTAATCAGAGTTTTTACTTTATTATTGGTTATTTGTTTTAGTTTTATGTCTTATACAGATTAAATTCTGTATCCTGAGTATCTAATGATGTTGTGTGACTCCCTCTAGTGTTAAAGCAGTGTCACTACAATCTAAAGTCATGTAAATATAGTCTGTGGAGGCTGTGAGGATGATGATGTTGAACAAGGGTTAGGGTTAGGAAATTGAACAATTAATCTCAGGTTTTTGTGTTTTTGTGCATTTAGTAGGTATAATTTTACTGACAGTCAGAAGGACGAGTAAATGGAGGATACATGTACACAGATTGACAACAATCTGATTCATTTATTTTATCAATAACCGATATAATTGATGGGAAAGAAAATGTAGAGAATGCTACAATGACTTGTTTCCCTAGAAAGTTACATATGTTTTTCTTATAGTATAGTGAATTACACAATGACCCAGAGAGCAGCATATCACATGTGGGCTGGTTTCACAACCACACAGAGGAAGTGGTCAGCACACTGTGTATAAGTCGGTCATTTTCCCTTCAGCAGTGAGACAGGATGAAGATCGCGGTGTCATTTTTCAGCCTTTGTAAGTAACAATGTCGATCTTTTTGTGCTTTGACTCATCAGCTCAAACTCAACAGATATCAAACATTATCCTGATCTCTCTTCTTTCTCTCTCTGCTGTCTGTGTGTTTGTCAGGTGTGTTTCGTACACTTGCCTCATCTAATACCAGAAAAGAAGGTAATGAGCTCTTTATGTGCAGATACAAAAGCATTGAAAGATGGTGATGAGCTTGATGAGAGTCTTTCTGCAAAGTCTTCTGTTTGCTTGAGGTTCATTTATGATAAAACTCAGTTTGCCAACAATAGTTGAAGCTGCAACAAGGATTATTAATTGTGTGTTGATTCTGGTTGCCCCTATGGACAAGGCTGTAGTGATTCTACCGCCTCATGTAATTGATTGCAAGGGGAATCCGACCAAACTCAACCCAATGGCAGGCATTAAGAATAACTATATAGAAATAGCCAATCTTCTTGATGATGGACTTGTTTGTTTATGTAGTTATATCGAAGCATCAGTATTAAATAAGACTCTTTCATAACCAGTTCCTCCAGTGGCTTTAATGTCTATCAGACACAATCAAATTCAGAGAACAGTGGCACTTACAAACCACTAAAAAGCGTTAAACACATTGGGTGGCTGTCTATTCCGATCTATTGTTTCTTGCAGCCGTTCTGAGAATCCTTCCAAACCGATCCCAGTTCTTCCCGTATGAGACTGTGTCTCTGAGCTGTGGGCAGCAGGAAGAGTGGAGAGTTAAGAGAAACACATCTAAAAACATCAACCAAGAGTGCTTCACATCCAGGAATGGAAAAAATGAATCCCTCTGTTTCATCGATGACCTTTACCCATCAGACAGTGGAGTGTACTGGTGTGAGTCTGCAGAAGGAGAGTGCAGAGATGCTGTCAACATCACTGTGACCAGTGAGTTTAAATAGAAACTGCTGTAGTTTGCTGATGCATCACTCGGGAACACAATCCTGTGAATAATAATGATCTGTCCTTCAGGGGGCTCTGTGATCCTGGAGAGTCCTGTTCTTCCTGTGATGGAGGGAGACAATGTGACTCTGCGCTGTACAAACAGGACTCCCTCGGCCTCCAATCTCACTGATTTCTACAAAGACGGGTTTCTGATCAGGAGCAGCTCTACCGGAAACATGACCATCCACAGTGTCTCTAAATCTGATGAAGGACTCCACAAGTGTAACATCTCTGGAGTTGGAGAATCACCAGAGAGCTGGCTGATTGTCAGAGGTGAGATCATAATTTTCATCTGCTAACAAACAGCTGCTTCATTTTCCTTCTGATGCCCCTGGATGATCTTGTTATACTGATGGGCAGTAAATCATCCACATTATATGATAGCACCGAAGATTCCCTCTCAGCACAGTATTTTGAATTTGGTTTGAGTAAACTGTTGGGTCCTGTACAAGTGTACATTTAAATTAACCTTATTTCAATATACAGAATTGAATAATTATCCTGTTATAAACTCACACAGTCGTGAAAGATAGTTTGATTCCTGATGTACTGCAGGAGAAGAGGTCGACTGGTGAAGCTGTTTTGGGGGGCTCTGTGAGGGCTGTAACACAATCAAGAAGCAGAAGCAAAAAGTGGTCTCCCCCATATATTTGATTGCTTTTAAGTTGTACAATGAAATAAAACTCAATAATCTCCCTCCAGTGTCAGACTCAGCAGTTTCCGATGCTCCTGAGATGTCTGTGTCCAGACTGATATGTCACATAGTCGTAGGGACTCCTTTTCTGGTGTCCACCATCATACTGGGCATCATCTAGAGAGACAGAAGAGGTGAGAGGTAACACTACTGATCCAGATACACTTGTACTTTCAGTTTTTCTCTGTTTTATTAATTCTTCTTTTGTTCTTTCTTCTTCATCTTCAGCTCCTCGGCTCGTTGCAGACAACAGAAGACACAATGTCATCATGGAGGTGGAATAGATGACAAGACTGCGCACAGATACTGAACATTTTATTGTTCATGTATGTCTGTGTTACATTTTTATTTGTGTATCTTTATAAAATGTCATGCTTGTTATAATGAGTTTTTCTGTGTGAATACAGATTAAATCAATGTTTTAACTTCTCAAGACTTACTTAAATTCCTTCTTTCTTTTTTAATCAGAGTTTTTACTTTATTATTGGTTATTTGTTTTAGTTTTATGTCTTATACAGATTAAATTCTGTATCCTGAGTATCTAATGATGTTGTGTAACTCCCTCTAGTGTTAAAGCAGTGTCACTACAATCTAAAGTCATGTAACTATAGTCTGTGGAGGCTGTGAGGATGATGATGTTGAACAATAGGGTTAGGGTTAGGAAATTGAACAATTAATCTCAGGTTTTTTGTGTTTTTGTGCATTTAGTAGGTATAATTTTACTGACAGTCAGAAGGACGAGTAAATGGAGGACATGTACACAGATTGACAAACAATCTGATTAATTTATTTTATCAATAACCGATATAATTGATGGAAAAGAAAATGTAGAGAATGCTACAATGACTTGTTTCCCTAGAAAGTTACATATGTTTTTCTTATAGTATAGTGAATTACACAATGACCCAGAGAGCAGCATATCATATGTGGGCTGGTTTCACAACTACACAGAGGAAGTGGTCGGCACACTGTGTATAAGTCAGACATTTTCCCTTCAGCAGTGAGACAGGATGAAGATCGCGGTGTCATTTTTCAGCCTTTGTAAGTAACAATGTCGTTCTTTTTGTGCTTTGACTCATCAGCTCAAACGCAACAGATATCAAACATTATCCTGATCTCTCTTCTTTCTCTCTCTGCTGTCTGTGTGTTTGTCAGGTGTGTTTCAAACACTTGCCTCATCTAATACCAGAAAAGAAGGTATTGAGCTCTTTATGTCCAGATACAAAAGCATTGAAAGATGGTGATGAGCTTGATGAGAGTCTTTCTGCAAAGTCTTCTGTTTGCTTGAGGTTCATTTATGATGAAACTCAGTTTGCCAACAATAGTTGAAGCTGCAACAAGGATTATTAATTGTGTGTTGATTCTGGTTGCCCCTATGGACAAGGCTGTAGTGATTCTACCGCCTCATGTAATTGATTGCAAGGGGAATCTGACCAAACTCAACCCAATGGCAGGCATTAAGAATAACTATATAGAAATAGCCAATCTTCTTGATGATGGACTTGTTTGTTTATGTAGTTATATCGAAGCATCAGTATTAAATAAGACTCTTTCATAACCAGTTCCTCCAGTGGCTTTAATGTCTATCAGACACAATCAAATTCAGAGAACAGTGGCACTTACAAACCACTAAAAAGCGTTAAACACATTGGGTGGTTGTCTATTCCGATCTATTGTTTCTTGCAGCCATTCTGAGAGTCCTTCCAAACCAATCCCAGTTCTTCCAGTACGAGACTGTGTCTCTGAGCTGTGGGCAGCAGCAAGAGTGGAGAGTTAAGAGAAACACATCTAAAATCATCAACCAAGAGTGCTTCACATCCAGGAATGGAACAAATGAATCCCTCCGTTTCATCGATGACCTTTACCCATCAGACAGTGGAGTGTACTGGTGTGAGTCTGCAGAAGGAGAGTGCAGAGATGACGTCAACATCACTGTGACCAGTGAGTTTAAATAGAAACTGCTGTAGTTTGCTGAAGCATCACTCGGGAACACAATCCTGTGAATAATAATGATCTGTCCCTCAGGTGGCTCTGTAATCCTGAAGAGTCCTGTTCTTCCTGTGATGGAGGGAGACAATGTGACTCTGCGCTGTACAAACAGGACTCCCTCGGCCTCCAATCTCACTGATTTCTACAAAGACGGGTTTCTGATCAGGAGCAGCTCTACCGGAAACATGACCATCCACAGTGTCTCTAAATCTGATGAAGGACTCTACAAGTGTAACATCTCTGGAGTTGGAGAATCACCAGACAGCTGGCTGACTGTCAGAGGTGAGATCATAATTTTCATCTGCTAACAAACAGCTGCTTCATTTTCCTTCTGATGCCCCTGGATGATCTTGTTATACTGATGGGCAGTAAATCATCCACATTATATGATAGCACCAAAGATTCCCTCTCAGCACAGTATTTTGAATTTGGTTTGAGTAAACTGTTGGGTCCTGTACAAGTGTACATTTAAATTAACCTTATTTCAATATACAGAATTGAATAATTATCCTGTTATAAACTCACACAGTCGTGAAAGATAGTTTGATTCCTGATGTACTGCAGGAGAAGAGGTCGACTGGTGAAGCTGTTTTGGGGGGCTCTGTGAGGGCTGTAACACAATCAAGAAGCAGAAGCAAAAAGTGGTCTCCCCATATATTTGATTGGTTTTAAGTTGTACAATGAAATAAAACTCAATAATCTCCCTCCAGTGTCAGACTCAGCAGTTTCCGATGCTCCTGTGATGTCTGTGTCCAGACTGATATGTCACATAGTCGTAGGGACTCCTTTCCTGGTGTCCACCATCATACTGGGACTCATCTAGAGAGACAGAAGAGGTGAGAGGTAACACTACTGATCCAGATGCACTTGTACATTCAGTTTTTCTCTGTTTTATTAATTCTTCTTTTGTTCTTTCTTCTTCATCTTCAGCTCCTTGGCTCGTTGCAGACAACAGAAGACACAATGTCATCATGGAGGTGGAATAGACTGCGCACAGATACTAAATATTTTATTGTTTATGTATGTCTGTGTTAGAATTTAATTTGTGTATCTTTATAAAATGTCATGCTTGTTATAATGAGTTTTTCTGTGTGAATACAGATTAAATCAATGTTTTAACTTCTCAAGACTCGCTTATATTCATTCCTTCTTTTTTAATCAGAGTTTTTACTTTATTATTGGTGTTATTTCAGTTTTATGTCTTATACAGATTAAATTCTGTATCCTGAGTATCTGCTGATGTTGTGTGGCTCCCTCTAGTGTTAAAGCAGTGTCACTACAATCTAAAGTCATGTAACTATAGTCTGAGGAGGTTGTGAGGATGATGATGATGAACAATAGGGTTAGGGTAAGGAAATTGAACAATTAATCTCAGGTTTTTATGTGTTTTTGTGCATTTAGTAGGTATAATTTTACTGACAGTCAGCAGGACGAGTAAATGCATGTACACAGATTGAAAACAATCTGATATTTTTTTTTTTTTGCAATAACCCATATAATTGATTGAAAAGAAAATGTAGAGAATGCTACAATGAGTTGTTTCCTCAGAAAGTTAGCCGACTGTTACATATGTTTTTCTTATAGTATAGTGAATTACACAGTGACCCAGAGAGCAGCATATCATATGTGGGCTGGTTTCACATCTACACAGAGGAAGTGGTCGGCACACTGTGTATAAGTCGGTCATTTTCCCTTCAGCAGTGAGACAGGATGAAGATAGCTGTGTCATTTCTCAGCATTTGTAAGTAACAATGTCGTTCTTTTTGTGCTTTGACTCATCAGCTCAAACTCAACAGATATCAAACATTATCCTGATCTCTCTTCTTTCTCTCTCTGCTGTCTGTGTGTTTGTCAGGTGTGTTTCAAACACTCGCCTCATCTGATACCAGAAAAGAAGGTAATGAGCTCTTTATGTGCAGATACAACAACATGTAAAGATGGTGATGAGCTTGATCAGAGTCCTTCTGCAAATTCTTCTGTTTGGTTGAGGTTAATTTATGATAGAACTCTCCGTTTGCCAACAATAGTTGAAGCTGCAACAAGGGTTTTTCATTGTGTGTTGATTCTGGTGGCCCCTATAGACAATGCTATAGTGTTTCTACCGCCTCATGTAATTCGAGGGGAATCCAACCAAACTCACCCAATGGCAAGCATTAAGAATAACTATATAGAAATAAAATATCTTCTTGTTTGTTTATGTAGTTATATTGAATTGAGATTCTTACATAACCAGTTCCTCCTGTGGGTTTAACATCTATCAATTCAGAGAACAGTGGCACTTACAAACCACTAAAAAGGGTTAGTCACATTGAGTGGGTGTCGACTGCAGCCGTAACAGCCTCCATCTATTGATTCTTGCAGCCGTTCTGAGAGTTCTTCCAAACCAATCCCAGTTCTTCCAGTATGAGACTGTGTCTCTGAGCTGTGGGCAGCAGGAAGAGTGGAGAGTTAAGAGAAACACATCTAAAAACATCAACCAAGAGTGTTTCACATCCAGGAATGGAACAAATGAATCCCTCTGTTTCATCGATGACCTTTACCCATCAGACAGTGGAGTGTACTGGTGTGAGTCTGCAGAAGGAGAGTGCAGAGATGCTGTCAACATCACTGTGACATGTGAGTTAAACAATAAAAACTGCTGTGTTGGTGAAACTGTGGACAAATAAGGGTTTTTGATCACAATACCATCGTGTAAATGGTCATGATCTGTCCCTCAGGTGGCTCTGTCATCCTGGAGAGTCCTGTTCTTCCTGTGATTGGAGGAAGACGATGTGACTCTGCATTGTATAAACAGAATGACCTCAGCCTCCAATCTTACGACTGATTTCTATAAAGACGGGTTTCTGATCAGAACCAGCTCTACGGGAAACATGACCATCCACAGTGTTTTTAAATCTGATGAAGGACTCTACAAGTGTAACATCTCTGGAGTTGGAGAATCACCAGACAGCTGGCTGACTGTCAGAGGTGAGATCATAATTTTCATAAATAGGGCCCTGGGAATATAGGACCTTGGGAACATAGGACTCTGGGAACACAGGACTCTGGGTACATAGGACTCTGGGAACATAGGGCTCTGGGAACATAGTCTTCTGGGAACATAGGACTCTGGGAATATAGGACCCTAGGAATATATGACTCTGCGAACATAGGACCTTGGGAACATAGGCTTCTGTGAACATGGGAGTCTAGAAACATAGGTCTCTGGAAACATAGAACTCTGGGAACATAGGACATTGCGAATGTAGGGTTTTGGGAATATAGGGCTCTGGAAATATAGGAATCTGGGAACCAAGGACTCAGGGACAAAGGACTCTGGGAACATATGGCTCTGGGAATATAGCACATTGGGAATATAGGACCCTGGGAACATTGGACTTTGGAAACATAGCCTTCTGAGAACATAGGACTGTAGGAAAATAAGGCTCTGGTAACATAGAACTCTGGGAACATAGGACATTGGAAATATAGGACCTTGGGAACATAGGAGTCTTGGGAACATATGACTCTGGGAATATAGGACTCTGGGAACATAGGAATGGGTACATGGGACCTTGGGAACATAGGACTATGGGAACATAGGACTATGGGAACATAGGACCTTGGGAACAAATGACCTCAGGAACAAAGGACTCTGGGGATATAGGACCTTGGGAATATAGGACTCCAGAAACTTAGGGCTCCCGGAACAGAACTCTGGGAATGTAGGACTCAGTGAACAAAGGACCTAAGTAACAGAGGACTCTGGGAACATAGGAATCTGGGAACATATGGTTCTTGGAATATATGACCCTGGGAACATAGGACTCTGGGAACATATTAATCTGGGTTCATAGGACCTTGGGAACATAGGACTCTGGGAACGTAGGATCTTGGGAATATAGGAATCTTGGAATAAAGGACCTCAGGGACAAAGGACTCTGGGAACATATGGCTCTGGGAATATAGGACATTGGGAATATAGGACTCTGGGAACATTGGACCTTGGAAACATAGCCTTCTGAGAACATAGGACTCTAGGAACATAGGACACCCGGAACATAGAACTCCGGGAATGTAGGACTCTGGGAACATAGGACATTGGGAATATAGGACCTTGGGAACATAGGAATCTGGATACATAGAACCTTGGGAACATAGGGATCTGGATACATAGAACCTTGGGAACATATGACTCTGGGACTATAGGACTCTGGGTACCTAGGACCTTAGGAACATAGGACTCTGGAAACATAGGACCTTGGGAACAAAGGACCTTAGGAACCAAGGACTCTGGGAATATAGGACTCTGGGAACATAGGACTCTAGAAACATAGGACTCTGGGAACATAGGACTCTAGAAACATAGGACACCCGGAACATAGAACTCCGGGAATGTAGGACTCTGGGAACATATGGCTCTGGGAATATAGGACATTGGGAACAAAGGACTCTGGGAACATAGGAACACAGGAACAAATGACTCTGGGAACATAGGAATCTGGGAACATATGACTCTGGGAACATATTAATCTGGGTACAAAGGTCCTTGGGAACATAGGACCTTGGGAACATAGGAATCTGGGTACATAGGACTCTGGGAACATATTAATCTGGGTACATAGGACCTTTGGGAACATAGGACCTTGGGAACATAGGAATCTGGGTACATAGGACCTTGGGAACATAGAACTCTGGTAACATAGGAATCTGGGTACATAGGGCTATGGGGACATATGAATTCTGACTGTATTTTGAATTTGAGTTTTGGATTCGAGGATACTATTGGGTCCGATACAAGATTACATTAAAATTAATCTGAATTCAATTTACAGTATTTATTGAAGGCCAGTCATCACTAGTGCGTTATAAACTCACAAAGCTGTAAAAGATATAGCCATGTTTAGTTTATATCCTGGAATACACCAAGAGCAAATTGTCAAAAATTAGCTCACCGTTTTGCTCCTTGTGTTCAATGTTTAAGTTGTACAATTAAATAAAACTCAATAATCTCCCTCCAGTGTCAGACCCAGCAGTTCCCGATGCTCCTGAGATGTCTGTGTCCAGACTGGTATGTCACATAGTCGTAGGGACTCCTTACCTGGTGTCCACCATCATACTGGGACTCATATACAGAGACAGAAGAGGTGAGAGGTAACACTACTGATCCAGATGCACTTGTACTTTCAGTTTTTCTATGTTTTAATTAATTCTTCTTCACGTTGTAGCTCCTCGGCTAGTTGCAGTCGACAGAAGACACGATGTCATCATGGAGATGGAATAGATGACAAGATATTTAATATTATAAAGTTTTTGTATGTCTGAATTACATTTTTATTTGTGTATTTGTTAATTATATCATATTATATATTTTATTTCATGCTCACAAAATAAGTTTTTCTGTGTGAATTAGTTGCACGTTTCATTACATTCAATGTGGTTTTTACATTAAAGTAAAAAAAAAAAGTGACACAAGATCATAATAAATAATAAATCTAATATAAAACAGTCTCGTTCAACACATCCATCCCACAAACACACAAGAACTACTCAACTACAGAAAAAGTTGTTCTGGTCAGACATATACCCGGGGAGCCAAAGAGCCAGTGAAGTGAACCAAACAAAAGAAAGTTAAAACAACGACTCTCACAGGAAGCAGAGCTGTACCGGCAACCAGAGAGGAAGACGTGTCAACCTGCTTCTTCCTGCTGTGGTTGTGGTTATGCAAACAAAAGCAGCAGTTGTTTTTTTATAATGTACGTCATAAAATTTAAAGATGTGGATGTACAATTTTACACGGCAGGGAGAGAGAAGATTAGATCATCATTAAAAAACAATTATGACGATTAAACTGAGCTCAAGTGTAAAATCAATGCTTAAATTAATTTATTACTGTGATAGCTTTAGTTGGCCATCAGGGGGCAACAGAGACACACAATCTGCTTAAAACTTGACTTCAAATGTTCTATATCTCTCACAAAATGATTGTTACCAAGATTCCCATCATCAGTCCAGTTGATTAACATGTTATAGATCGACTGTACGTGACTGCAGGCTCACAGAGCAGCCTCGATGGGGGGAACACTTCCAGTATTTATGGCTGAATGCGGCCTCACAGAGCAGTTAGCATCTTCATTTAGCTTTGATAGTGCTAAACTTTTAAACACAAATATAGTTATTTTAGTTAAATTAGCCTCATAAAGTGATATTATTCGACATATGTTACATGTAAGATGATTCAATGTGATAGGAATGTACTTGTGTCTTATATTTTATGTCTTTTTTGTTTTATTTGTGAATGTATTGTTTCATGTGATCCTGACACCATCTTACACTGTCCTTTATATGAAGGTGTTATTATATTATATATATATATATTATATATTATATTATATATATATTATAGATGTTTGTTGGTAGGAGATGGTGGAAGGACGATTTAAATAAAAATAAGTTATTTTCTGGTGTGAACGAACCAGAACTGAACAATTTAATGTAAATTCATTTTAATTTAATTAGATTTTTCCTTTTTAAATGGAGATTCCCATTTCCCAGTTGCCTTTGAATGCAGCACCAACCCCCCAAAATGAGCTGTCCGTGGTGCTGAAACCCTGAAGGCCCTGAACGCCTCACCTTCCTCCTCTTCCTCATTACATATTCAGATGTTTCCGTCTCGTGCCGTCGCGTCCGATCACGTGAACATATTGTCATTGCTTGTTATTATTCTCCGGAGGCAGCACGAGAGCGCGGAGAGAAACGTCTCGTGGGTGGCGAGGAAGGCGACGCGGTGACGTCACGAAAAAAACGTGAAAAAGATCTTTTGTGTCCGACAGAGCGTCACCGTTACCACAGCAACGCAACGGAAACAGACTTTTTTAAAGTTTTTAATCTTATTTCACCAAAAACATTTAAAGGAGTTTGAGATATTTATAGTTTATGTTTTTATATTTTCAGTCTAATATTTATTATTGTTTTTATTTATGATAATCCTGGAGGAAATCAATCTATAGCTATGTTACACAATGTTAATGTTTGTGTCATAAATATAATTATTAGGAGAATTAGGAGCTATAGATCTGTACTTAAATTAAAAGTTAAAATTACTTTGTATTATAAGACAATGTGTGAAAGTTCAGACAATATATTAAATATACACTATATTAAAGTATATTATTACTATATTTAGTGTTGGAAGGAAATGTCCAGAAGAAAAGGTATTATTATTTAATATTTAAAATGTATTTAAAGGTCCAGTGTGAAACATTCAGGAGGATCTATTATCAGAAATGGAATATAAGTTCATAGGGATGTTTTCATTAGTGTATAATCACCTGAATATGAGAATCAATGTGTGTTTGTTACCTTACAATGACCATAAAGTCTGCCCTGTTTCTACAGTAGCCCAGAACGGACAAACCAAACACTCTGGCTCTAGATAAAGGTGTCAGCATTTTCTTTGCATTTTGTGGCGACTGTAGTTTCTCCTTCGTGTTTGGAAAGGGAGGGTGAAGCGAGGGAGTTGCAATCTGCCCCTGCTGAGACGTAGTAGAACATGTGTGTATGAAAACTTATAGAATATAAACAGCAGACTTTTATCTCAGCATTTCTAATTTATGTCAACAAAACTACATTAAATTCTTATTTTTTTTTGCTATATTTTTAAATGATTTGGATGAAGTTTGAGCAGATTATTTCCTGTTAAGGGAACTTTATATACAATTCTCTGTCTATATTATATATTTCTGATCATTTCTAACAATCATAAAGACTTAATAAGCTCTTTTTTTTAATACATTAACTATATTCTTGTCCCTGATGTTTTGCCTATTGATCTATTAGACAATCTATTTTACAGTTTTCTCCACAGAAGTGAACCAGATGCTGAGATATCGGTCTAATGTCTTGTGAATATCTTTATACATTTTCTTACACACCCTAAAATCAAGAAGACCCTGTGAAGCTTTGGTGACCTCTAGTGGGAGTCCTGACATCAGGGACAAGAAAACACTACATTTAAATAAAAAAAAGGTAAATTAAGTCTTTATGATTGTTAAAAATGATCAAAAATTCATAATACAGACAGATAATTGTACATAAAGTCCCCTAAACAGGAAATAATCTGCTCATAATTCATCTAAATCTCTCGTTCTACACATACTTTCTAATTTAATATATTTATAAAATATATCTCAAAGATATAAAACTGGATCCGTTCAGGAAAAAGTGAATAAAATAATAAAAAAGTATTAAAAGTAAATGTACTCGATTACATTCCTGTAGACACAGTTTCTACCGGCGGAGTGATCCATCTCCTCCACAGACGATCTGTGTGTGTCTCTCTCTCTCTCTCAGACTGAAAATAGGTCCAGCTGGGTTTGGTCTGCAATCATCGCCTCTCACACCGACTCCGACACCGAATTTCAACCCACAACAACCGGACGATACCGACGTCTGGCGCCCGGTAACCGGAGGATTTACCGCCGTTTTCTTGCTCCCTATAAATAAAAACTTGATATTTATATTTTATTTTTTGGGGTTTTTTTGTTTCTTTTTCTGTTGGAGGATTTTTTTTTCTCTCCGCAACCGAAGTGATGTCTGTCGCTGGGTTTAAAAAGCAGTTCCATAAAGCCACCCAGGTGAGTCTGTTTATGTTTATTATTGATTATTTCTTATATATTTATTTATATTTAGTGTAAATACGTTTCTATCAGCAGGTAATCTGATATGTTTGGGCTTTAAAATGGAGCAAATGTGAAGTAAACATTGCGTTTCCTGGGACATTAGCGCCAAAAAAAAGCAGAAATCTTGATTTTATCTTTTAAAAAAAAACGCGTTAAATTCTTTTTAGCTGCAGATTGTAAATAAATATTAATAAATAAATAATAATAATAATAATTTAAATATATATTAAAGAGGAAACGCGATGTTTGGATGAAACCGAGGATGTTTTTCGTCATGGTGCGTTCAGGAGCAGGGTATACCCCCCTCCAACACACACACACACACACACACACACACACACACACACACACACGTACGTAAGGATGTTACGTAACAGAATATGAGTTTAAAATGTGTGTGTGTGTGTGTGTGTGTGTGTGTGTGAGCTGATTGGCTGTCTCGGCACGCAACAGGGAATTCCCTCCTTCCTCCTCCTCTATCATCCCTCCATCCTCCTCCTTCAGGATGCCTCTGAACGTCTCTCCATCTCCTCCACATCCATCCTTCTCCCCCCCCTTCAGTCATCCCTCCATCCTCCCTTTCTCTTCCTCTACGGTGCCTCTCAGCGTCGCCTCATCCCTCCATCTTTATGTCTGTCCCCATTTTAAACTTGTGTCTGTTCATCCCTCCATCATCACCTAAACATCTCTCCATCGTCTTCTTTTTTTTTTTTCTTTTTCTGGTGCTTTTGATCCCTCCATCTCTTCTGTCCCCCCCCCCCGTCTATCATCACCCTAACTGTCTCTCTATCCCTCCGTCATCCCTCCATCTCACATCATGCTGCCTCTGAACATTCCCACATTTTCCAGCCCTCCGTCTCTCCTTTTCCTCGACCTCCTGTCCTTTTTTTGGTCGCTCTAATCATCCCTTCATCCCTTTTCCCCCCTTGTAGCCCTCCTTTCTCATCCCTCAATCTCCCCTTTTCTCCACCATCATCCCCCCATCCTTTCTTTTTACCCCGTAGTCTTTCATCTGTCCTCTCTCTAAGCACATCCCTCCTACTTTCCACACATTTTCCCTTCAAGTCATCCCTCCATCATCACCCTCTTTCCCTCCTTCTATCTCTTCTCTATGATCACTTTATTACCGGTGTAAACATCCTTCCATCGTCAGTACGAACATTTTCTGTCTGAAGGTTTTTTTTTAAAATATCAAACAGTTTGTGTTTGAAGACGAAGAGGAGTTCTTCCCCCCCCACAGATGCCGACAGGCGCTCTTCATCGCCCCTTTACGACTTCGAGAGTAATAGGAGCTGACGCGAAACAAAAAGGGAGATTTACGAGGAATCCCTTTGACCTTTGGCCTCTTCGCTGTCGGCTGCTCGCTGATATCGAGTGTGAATGCGAGATGAGGTTTCGTGTGACAGACAGACAGGCAGACAGACAGACAGACAGACTCCGGCTGTATGAGAGCGACCTGACGCCTGTTCACTCCACCCAAACACATTACTCTTCCTCCTCCTCCTCCTCTTCATCATCCTCCTGCTGTAAACACAGTCTGGAAACCTTTTTGTATAATGGTGTCTACATGTTATCAGCGTGGGATCATGGGAGTTGTTGTCTTCACCTCCATTGATTCCTTCAGTGTTCATGGTTCAGGAGGTTTCTACCAGGAGTCCAGTGATCCACAGAGATCCTCCTCCTCTCCAGAACAAACAGACCCGCTGATTAAAACCACTAAACACACTGAATAAGATCCAGACGTCCTATAACTAAAATCCTTCATCCGGTTCAAGCACCAAGATCTAAACAGTGGATGGTAACAATGTGGCTTCAGACTGGATCAACAGTCAATGTATGTTAGAAGTTATATCGAGATGAGTATCGACCTGAAGAACGCCGTATGAGTCGGGCTTTGGTTTAGTTGGTACCGACATTCAGGATTTCAACTTTCTAAAGACGTTTTCACTCATTTTCTTCATCATAATCTTGATCAAAGGTTCTGAAATGCTTCATCAGTTCCTTTTAAAGTCTCTGTAGTTTGCTGTCGGCTCCTGGATTTCAATGTTTGTTGTAAAGTCTGAACTCAGGATGAAGCATCGTTTGCTGGATCAATACGGCAGCGTCGACGAGCCAAATGTGGATAAACAAAAAACACCTTCTTTTTTTTTTTTTGTCTGCTTCATCCTCCGCTGTCTGAGAGTCCAAATCAATGAAAATGTGATTTATTTCACACTTTCATACAGTAACGTGACCCTGAGAGCTTCACTAACGTCGTTAAAAAGTGTGAGAGGAACCAGATCGACGCTGAGAGGAAGACGAAGAAGAGGAGGAGGACTGTTTCCTTCCTCCCTGTCTGGTGTCCCGACTGTCATCAGGACAAATTCCTGCACATTTGTTGCATTTGTCAGATGAAGCGACGCTGATAAAGAGAGGAGATGATGTTTATTGATCCCCGAGGGGGAAACTGGGTCACTGCAGCAGAACAGAACAGGAAATAAAAATAAAAAGTACAGCAGCAGCAGAGCGTCCTGAAGGCTCAGACGGGAGCGAGGACAACACCAACTAAAGTAACCGAGTACTTCATGCTACAAAGATTAGTGTTTATTGAGTCATTTTTATGGTTCCAGCTTGGTTTCCTAAATCAATGGATCAATGGAGAAAATAATTAGCTGATTAATCCATAATGAGAATGGTCATTTGTTACAGTCCTGATAGTTTAAATAATCTAATAATATCATATATAATAGTATAATGTGTATACAAATCTCCCCTATGACTGTTTATATACACATATTGTACATTTTAATAGCCTGTTTTATCCCAAT